GTATCGTTGTCAGAAAATGTGTTTATTTTCTCGAGGGTTACATGCGTGACAGAAACTTACTTTCAAGCGCATATTTGAACTCCGGTGTATCTTTCTCTTTCCCTTCGGATATCAACGCCTGGTATGGTTCTGGCAAGGTGCCCTTGATTCGCTGCGCAAAGCTTAGACGGATCTCCTTATCCAGTGCGCCGCAGATAAATGCTTTCTTGGGGTGAACGGCTGGCAGTTCAACGTCGTCAACCCTGTGTACAATGTCAGCAAGCTGTAGAGAGTGTTCATCTTCCTTCTATCAGCAAAAAGGCTGGAGAGGGATCCTACCACTCCGTCCACTTCCACGTAAAGCCAAAATTACTCAAATGATGCGCAAACCAATCCAAAAACCTATACGACAGCGTGAGATCCATCCTCTCCACATTCTTATACAAATAACGAATCGCCCTCCCCAGACTCGGCGCAATGGCCGCAGGCGCAATCTTGCACGCCTCCGTGAGCACAGAGTGGTAGTAGACCAGCTTATGCTGCGGCGTAGGGAGCTGAAAGAGCAACGAGAACACCGCGTCAACAGCGACATCTTCGGGCTTCCAGGTCGAGCGATCAGCGGTACCCGCCGCAACAGCGTCGCGGATCTTGTCGAAGGGGGTGGCGCGCTTGATGAAGGTCTTGGGCGCGAAATAACAATCGACGTCAATGAGGAATTTGGCGGTGGCGATGCGGTTAAAGTCGAGCATGTCGATTGTGTCGGTGAGGGAATCGCGGAGTAAAGAGGCGGCAATGTCAGTGGTGGGCGGGACGGTTTCTAGGTCCTGGTCGAAGTAGACGGAGAAGTAGACGTCTGGGAAGATAGATTTGGGCCCGTTGGGGACTGGGTTGGGCACAGTGATTGTGGGGAATACGTGCTTGGTGGCATTCTTGAGGGGGTCTTCGGGTTCCTTTTCTTCTTTCTCTTCTTTCGTCTCCCCTGCTTTTTCTTCGTTCCCTTCGGGCATTCCTTCTGGTTTGGTCGTTGACATCAGCCCCGTCCAGGGGCGTGGGATGCATGTAAGTTCCCAGCCCTGCTTTCCTTCTTCTTGTAGCTGCTTCTGTAGAAGGCCGATGACGCTCATTCTTTTCTCCTCCTTCACCTCGTCAGACGGGAAGGGGTCAACCAGTGCCTCCAAAGTATGTGGCGTTGAGGCGATGATGTCCGTTTTCTCCAAAAGGGCGGCAGCCTGTGTTTCAAAGCCAGAAGCAGATGACGACATGACATAAGGGATTGTGAAAAGGATGATCTTTACAAGTTCCAAGCCCAGTGACTACAATATAAATAAATAGATAAATCAGCATGAACCGCTCAAATTAAAAACCACAAAAAAAAACATGTATACAGGGAAGCAAAGAAAATGAAGAAAATAACTTACATCCTCAGAAGAAGCCGTCTGCAAATCGACAGCGCGAGAAAACAGCTCCTCCAGTACCGGAAAGATGCCTTCGCCCTCGAACAGGCCCTGCAAGCAGGCCAAAAACCGCAGCATGAGCTTGACATTGCGCCAGTTACCCGCCTCAATATGTGACTGGGCAATTTCCCCGGCCTTCTTTAACACCTCCGCCGCCAACTCCGGCTTCATCGTGTTGGCCGTGAGCACCGTCGCAGCAACGAAGGGGATTTTAAACGGTTGCTCGCCGACGCTATACTCCGAGGTAAAAGAAAAAAGAAAATCGCATTAGTTATATCAGCTTAACGAGCTTCTCGGGTGCGAAGTGTTGGTACTGTTTTTTACCACCGGGGGGCAAACGGAGGAAATTCTTATCAACAACGTACAGCTGCAGAACCAAGCTCACAAACGTATTCTTAACCTCCTCATCCTCATCATCATAGTGTTCCGACATGGTCTTCGCAATCCGCACAACGTCGTCTTCAGCTCTCCTTACAGCCTGCAAGATACCGCCCAAGAAACAACTAATTTAGCCCGTATATCCCGCGTGAAAACCCACGTCGTCCGACTAGTAACAAAGATACAAATCGACTTACCGACTCGGCGATCGTCGCCAATTGTTTCCGCACCGTCACAGCGAGGGGTTCCTCGTACCTCCGGCGCTGCTGTCTGCGATCGTAATCGTCGTCATCTAATCGCAAAACAATGTCAATTAGATTAGTCCCCGCGCATCTTGTATATATAAATATAATATCTTCCTCAGCCGTAGCCAACCCTCCCCCCTTTCCCTCTGCGCAACATGGAAACGGGGCCATAAGAATGAATAGAAAACACACCTCGATATCGCCTCTTCCGGTTATACCCGCCGCGCGGCCCGCGAGATTCATAATCCACCATCCTGAGTGTACGTATGTATGTATGCCTTCTTTCCTATCCTTTCTTTTTCTTTTCTTCCCCGGCACCTGTTTGCCCGCGTGTCCCAGTCAGTCAGTCAGTCAACCAGCCAGCCAGCCCCGCATGTACACAGACACACAGACACCCATACCGAGAAAAGCGCGCTCTCCCTCCTCAACCCTCACCAGAGGTTCGACAGCCTATCGCAACTTACGCAGCTAGCTTCACAAAGCGGGCCCCCTTCAACAAATGCAAAATGGGGCTTCAGCACAGCTAACCAACTCGAAATTCGCATTCGAATTCGAAAAGAAGAAGGACAAAAAACCGGCTAACGAAAAAGCCGTCCCGGAGAAAACGCAAACACGAAGCGAGGCGGAACTCTAAACAAAGAAAGACGACACGGAATCGGGGGTTTTGGTGTTTATATAACAGCGTGTAGCTTTAAAAAATAAAGGAAGGGGAGAGGGCGAAATGCGGATCGATCGAGTTTCGCGCGCGCGTCGTATCTATTATTGTACAGTACATACATAGATTAGGTAGGTTAGATACTCCCGTAGAGAGAAAGTAAAAGTAAATAAGTAAGTAGTTAGGTGTAACTAAGCCAACCAACCAACCGCAGCCTAGGTACGCACGCACGCGACGAATCAGACCTACCCTACCTATGGGTGAATTGGGTAGGGAGAGAGAGATTGAGGGGGAAAAGACTCTCTCTTTTCCAATTCCAAAGAACGGGATCGGATTGGATTCGCAAGGAGAGAAAGAAAAGCGAGAAGAGACGCAAATCGCGCAAGGAGAGAGGTAGATAGACATAATAAATAACTAGAGGAGGGAAAATCAAATTGTTCCGAAGCTTCGTTCGGTGCAGACACGGAGGTAAATTTATCCGGACCCGGACTTCATCCAACATTTGTATGATATGCATAGTAAATAGTGGTAACTATACTCCGTAGTACTATGTGATGTGGCTCTCTCTCGGTACAACATAACATATACATGTATGTATGCCCTTTCGTGAGGAATGGAGAAGCAAAACTATAGTTCATTTATTTATTTATTTATTCCTTGACTCTTATTACTTTGTCATTTTGTTCTCACAATAATGAATCAACCACACACAAGCAGTCATATTTCTTCTAGTTATTTCTGCCCCTTTTTCATCACAAGACTGAAAAAATAATAAATATATCACAAGAGGCTCAGCTTTCGGCTTGAAAGTTGAATAATAATAATAATAATCAAAATAATAGTAAAATAAAATGTAGAAGTAAAAATAAAAATAAAAACAGGATTAAAAAAAAATTTGAGAATACACACAAAAGTTAAAGAAAAATAAATAAAGGGCAAAAAGAAGAGGTAAAAAACATTCAATGATAATAATAATAATATAATAACATTGGCATAACGTTTCATAAAAAAAGGGGGGGAAATGCTAGTTACTAGTCAAGGCACTAGGTATATAGGGTAGTAGTAGGAAGGCTTTGTATCCCTCTCTCCGTGTTTCTCTCAGCTTCCCACCCGCCCCTTGTCCCCGCCCCCTATATGGATGGCCCCCTATCCTATCTCCTCCATCTCCATCCCCAGTATCCACATGTCCTCAATCTCCACTCCCAGCTCCCCTTGCATACCCCCCATCCATCACATCACGATACGATACGAATACGCCTTTATCCTATCCACCTAGCCGTCTTTTCTTGTCAAGGGAAAAGTCCAATAGCAAAGAAAAACAGAGTGGAAGAAAGAAAGGTGAAAAGAAAAATGATGATAGAACAGGCGGAGTGAATACATTTAGGTATACCTGCTCCCACAACCCTCCTCAGAACAACTCCCCTGATCCCCTCCGCTTTGCACTGTAAACCATCCCTTTCGCTCTCCCCATCCCCTCACCGTTCCCTTCCCCTTTCCTTCCCCTCCCCCAATCAACCCGTTCCCTTCATCAGGTACCCTTCCATGTCCCACGTAAACGCTAAGCCGAGTAATAAAACTGGCGCATTTCAAAGCACAAAATACAAAACGCAATAACAACCCCATTTCAACAAAGGATCCCCAGTAAAGAAATAAAAAATTAAAATGAAACTGAAAAATGAAAATAAAACAAAGAATTCGTGCCGGGTGGTGGGTGGTTCTGGGGGTGGTGGGGTATCAAATTATTATTTTTTTTGTCATTTTTTTTGTTTTGTTTCGATTTTCCCCCTTCGTTCCCGTTTCGTTTCGCTTGTTTCCCCGTCTGGGAGTCTGTGCGAAAACACATATTCCCAATTCCCAATAATCACCACGCATTTCGTACACACTCTCTCCGTGTGTGGCCCTACTACATTCATTCTCGAGGTCGTCGATTCATTGCCACGTGAGTCCGTCATGAAAAAAACATGGATGGTACTTTTTGCTCCCTTTCTTCCTCCTTCCTGAGGATGTCGAATGTTCCCGAAAGGTTTTTGTTCGACGTCAGGGTCTAAAACATATTCAAGGAAAACTTTGGCTTTGTTGGATGTGTAAAAGAAGTTAAAGAGCAAAAGGAAGGAGGAGAGAAACAAGAGAAAAAAGGAAAGCTAAACAAAGACGACCACCCCATGCATGAATTCGGATCTCCCGCTGAGGCAAATTGAAATTTTTTTGAAAGGATCGCGCGCACCGCGATAGCGATAGCGCTTTTGAACAAGCATGTTAGAATTTCGTGACACTTTAACCCATGTCGACTCAATCAAGGTGGGCTAGCATTTCATCTTTCGTAAGCGGCGTGAAATTATCGAGATCGATACCACGAGCGAGGAGGTCAGCCTGTGCATGAGCGGGGATCAACCTACTGTTCATGCTTGGCAGGATCGAAAGCTCTATATAGAATCATTGTTAGCACGGGATATATGAAAAATATACTAGAAGAAATTCCTTACCATGGCGCGAGAAATCGAACAAGTTAGGAAGTTGTCTTGGAGGGTTGTTCGGATGACGGGAATCTGGCAGACGAGTGTTGGGGTCCCGAAGCTCATCGAAGAATGGGTGGCACATAGCCTCGACCGCTGAAAGGCGTTGAGTAGGGGTATACTCGAGGAGCGCTGTGATGAGATCGATCGCTTCAGGAGGAGCTTTGCGGAAGACCTTTTTATCGCGCGTCAGTGTTTCAGTCCGCTTGAGAAACAAAATAAAATCGAAGTTTTACCTTGTTGAATGGATGTGGCTTGATCTGAGGGAACTTGTGTTCCATGTAGTTCGGATTCATGGTTCGAATTTGTTCACGAGTGGGAGTTCCAAGCACCTTGATGATCTCCACCAATTGGTCGATGCCTGATTCGCCAGGGAAGAGGGGTTGCCCGAGCATCAATTCCGCCATAACACATCCGGTCGACCACACATCTGTAAAAGTGGTCAGAGACAGGGCGTAACTTTGTGGGGGAAATAAATTAGGGTAGCGGAGGGGGAAAACGAGGGACATAGTTGTTGCAGCTTACCAATCTTTGTGGTGTAGTTGGTTGCACCGAAAATGAGTTCCGGTGAACGATAGTAACGGGAGCAGATGTATGACACGTTCGGTTCGTTTTCGACGAGGATCTTGGCGCTGCCAAAATCGCAGAGTTTCAGAATCCCCGTGTTGGGGTCCAGTAGGAGATTTTGCGGTTTGATATCACGATGGCAGATACCCTGGGAATGTATATATGCCAGAGAGCGGAACAACTGGTAGATGTAAAGCTTTACTTCCAGCATAGGCATGGTTGTCTTCATCTTGCTGAAATAACGGGATGCACGGTAGACAGTCTCGGGAACGAATTCGAGGACGAGGTTAAGGTAGACCTCGTCTTTCTATATCATGTGAAAACAGAGAGAAGGGTTAACTTGTGTCAGACGGGATACTCCTTGTAAAACATGATAATAATCGTGTGAAAAGACAAAAGAGTTGGGGAGGAGGGGGAGAGAGGGTGCAGGAGCTTACTCTTTCTCCGTTGGAATAGTAAAAAGCCTTCAGCTGGACGATATTTGGATGCCGTACAATGCGCATGATCTGCAGTTCGCGGTTCTATAGCAAGGAGAAGAGAGGAGTCATTTAGCGCAGTTCGTAGAAACAGATTCACAATTTTGTATTATTAGATTAGGAACCAACCTTGAAGCGTTTGTCCTGCAACACTCTTTTGATGGCTGCATCCTCGCCAGAGGGAGCAATCTTGGTTTGAAAGACCACACCAAATGAACCATTTCCCACAATCTTGCATTGGGTATATTGCATATCCCTTGTCTCTCCTGTCAACCCATCCTGCACCTTCTCACGAATTACTTCTGTAAGTAGAAAAAAAAAGGGGGGGAGTCAGTGTCAGCAAATATTCGGCGGCTAATATATAGATAGTGATAGAAAAAATAAACGTACCCCCCATTCGTAAGCTCGAAAACACCCCTGGACGATTTTGTGACATGACTCGGTCTGAGAGCCCCCAGTGCCCGAGAGGAATATAGAAAGAAGCGCTATTGTACTATACTCTTCCGTTGATTTTTGGTTTCGCCGCCGTCGCCGTCGTTGTTGTCGTCGGTTCGCGGACGGTAGGAGAGTCGTATTCAGGTTCAGGGCTATCGAGAGTATGGAGGGCTGCAGTTGAGCAAAGAATGGCGGCAGGTGGCAGGGAGGGGATGCGTGTGGAGACCCGTCTTGGGCGAAACGAAACTAAGGCGTGGTGATTTTTAAATGACAACTGTGGCGATCTACGACCTGTCGAATCAACACAAGTCGCGGGAAGAGGAGAAAGCGTAGGTTAGATAGAGAGATATGAGGAGGAGAGCGGGCGAATTGAGTGAATGATTGAATGAAGGAATGTTTTGTGAATGGTTTGTGGATATTCTCTGCCTCTGTGTGTCTGTGTCTCTCTCTCTGTCTCTCTCTCTCTCTCTCTCCCTCTGTGTGTTTGTGTGTGTGTGTGTGTGTGTGTGTGTGTGTGTGTTTTGAATTGAAACAGACACAAGAGAACAAGCTTGAAGACAAGACAATGATGAAAGAGGAAGAGACCAAGGCTACAGTCACTGTGGTTACAGAGAGGGGGGTACAGGAGCAGATGGGCGAGAAGAGGTAGGTGGTAGTATGGTTGTTAGGGGAGCGGGACAGGACAAGGCGCAGGTGTAGGTGAAAGGAGCCGTAGTAGGGTAGTGGCGCGAGTGGCAGTAGAAGCGGTGATGGGAGGAGAAAGGTATGTAATAATGGACGAACGATGAGTACGAAGAAGGTGGTGGTGGTGGTGAAGAGGAAGAGTAAGTAGTGGAGGAGTGTGGTGGAGGAGTGTGGTGGAGGAGTTTGGTGGTGGAAGAGGCTGGCTAGTTTGCTAGAGGTGACGTTGATGGAGGAAGAATGAATGGCGGAGACGCGGGAGCAGGCCAAAGGGAGGGGGAGGAAAGTCGAGGAGAGGAGCGATAACAGCCAGCAGAGGCAGGGTGTTAAGGTAGATAGATCGATGGGTGGATGCTAGGAATAGGAACAGGAGAGGTGGGAGGGGGAGGGGGAGGCGGAGGCGGAGGAGGAGGAGGAGGAGGAAATGGAGGAAGAGGAGTGAGTGGTTGGAGGGGGGAGTAGTGGAAGTGGGAGTGGGAGTGAGTGGGAGTGGAAGGGTAGGTAGGTAGGGGCCGTAGGGCAGGGTAGGGTATAACTGTTTAGTGGTGGTGGTGGTTGGTGGTGGTGGTAGTGGTGGTGGTAGTGGTGGTAGTGGTGGTTGGGGCGAAGGAAGAGGAAGAGAGCTCACTAAACAAACCGACCGGGCTGACAGGACAAAAGGGACAGGACAGGACAGGACAGACAGGACACGGGAACAACCCAAGCGACGGGGAAGGAAGAAACACTCACTCGCTGCACATAATAATAATAAATAATAATAATACACGACTCGACTCGACTCACTCTTCCTGCCTTTGGGGGCGGTACACACCAAGTAATAATAATAATAAATAACCCCACACAAAAGAGATGCTTGCTTGGCTTTGATCTTTTCCCCCCCTTCTCTCTCTCTCTCTCTCTCTCTCTCTCTCTCTCTCTCTCTCTCTCTTTCTGGCCTGTTGCTCTGTTGTAGGTGTTGAGCAGCAGCTGTGTCTGTGTGTATCTCTTGTGTCCTCTCGCGGTGTCTGCCGGTCTGCTGGTCTGCTGCTGTGTTCTGCTATATCACCGTATCGTATGGCTGCTACGTGCGTCTGCCGTCTTGTGGGACGGACTGTGCTGGGAGGGCAAAGGCAGAGAGGAAAAGCCCAGGTCACGCTGGGGCTTGGGCGCAGGCGGCGGGCGTGGGCCGTGGCAGTGGGGATTCCCTCGTGGCTATTATTGGCGTGGATATTCATTCTGCGTATTATTCGCTGTATTTTCAAAATGCATTGTAATTTTAATTGAAGACGATCCTATTAGTTCGATTTAGCTATGGAGTAAGTGAGTTGACAATTAGTTACGCTGTAAGGTACGGAGTAGTTAACTAACTTATTATTATTATTATTATTATTATTCAAAGCTTCAAATAGTTTATAAATGCTTTTATCCCAGACACAATATCTATATCTATCTCCATTTAATATCAAATATCCTGTGTCTCCTTCCGCCCTCTCTCCCTCTCTCCTCCTTACACTTAATACAGCCCAATATTGTTACTAACCTGCACCCACCCGCGAAATAATGACAACACCGACACCCCCGTGACAAGTCACGCGGATATTCTCCATGGATGGGTGGCAGCTCGCAGACAGACAGCTTCCCTACTACTCTCTACGCAAACATTATTAGCTAAGTGGCGTCCCCAGCAATGGTCAGGTGAGCCGCAAAAAAAAAAGAAAAGAAAAAACCTAATCGGGGGACATTTTTTGGATGGGACCAAGGTAATATACGGAGTGCCAGATCCATTGAGTTTGGATATATATATGTATATATATATATATATATTATATATACTAAGGGAAAAAGCTTGAAAGGGCTAGTTAACAGCTACAGCTTGACAAGCTAATAACTTGTACAGCTAACTAATAACAGCTATATCAAGGGAGGATTAGCCATTCACCTGGGGCAGAGAAGAGAGAGAAATATCAAATATCATCTCTCTCTCTCTCTCTCTCTTTACTATGAGAGGTTCCTGTGCTGTGGTGAACGATTAAAATAACATTCATATAATCCTTCGACTCTGCGGTCTTCAAAAAGCCCTCACATCACTTAAAAAAGCCACCTCCTACCTGCAGCGTCGTAGTGTCCAACCTACCCCCCCTTCCTCTACTCCCGGCTTCCCGAAGGGAAAGAAAAAAAAAAAGGGCGCCCTGTCATATTGGCCGATATTATTTCAGGGAAACGACGAAACCCTAATAATGTCACTTGCTAGTTATTCGTTGTCATTATTTAACTCGTCCTCCCTCCCCCCCTCCTCCTCTTCGGGCACCCCCTTTTGCCCTGCCTTTGGATGGAGCGAAAATAAACCATCAAGGTGGCTGTGCTGCAGTTGCAGCTGCAGCTTGTCATCAACGTGAGCAGACAGCAGGGATCTCTGCTGTCTGCCTGTCATCTTATAGACTATAGTAGTATGTAAGTGTCTTCTCTGTAGTCCGTACCTATATCTAGTTACCGACTTTTTTTTTTTTTACCTATTTTCAATTTTCTTTTCATATTAGTTTTATGGATTAAGCTCCTCTTACTGATGTATGTACGTAGTATGTAGCTCGCAAGTGTGAGCTATATCACATCAACATTATTTTATACTCAAATAAATTCTCACAATGAATGCCAGCACAGGGCTTATAGACATCTATTTTTGTCCTCTTTCTTTCTTTCTTTCTTTCTTTCTTTCTCTCTCTCCCGTTTTCACATTGGAGTAGTGTATGTATGCCTATATGTACTGTTCTTGAGTTGGGTTGGGTTAACTAAAATAAAGAGATCGTTGAGTTGGTTGGTGATGACTTCATATCTGGTTATTTGAGGGCGTCGATCTCGTCTAGGTAACTCCTGATGACTGATGACTGGCTGGTTGGCTATGACCAAGAGTTGAAAATTAAAAATATATAACCCCCTCGTTCCCCTTTTTCATTTGCGGGAGAAGAAGAAGAAGAAGAAGAGAAGAGCAATAATGACCCGAACCAAAACCAGTTGAGCTGATACAGGAGGGAGAAAAAAAAAGAAAAATAGGGCACGAACTGGCACGAACACATGTTTCATCCCATATCTGCTTCAGAATAGCTGAACCAAACTAACCAATGCAAGCCATTATTCCTTTTTCCTTCCGTCTTTTTTTTTTTTTTTTTCTTTTTTTTTTTCCCTTCCTTCCTTCATTCCTCTCAGTCCAGCCCGCCCCTCTCCTAAACTGTATACAAGTGAATACAAAAATGAATGCACCAGCGATGCAAATGCAACAAACACACTGTCTTCAAAATGAGCACAAGGGCATGTGTGTGTGTGTGTGTGTGTGTTGTGTGTGTGTTTGTTCAGCCAATCAAGGAAGTGAAATGAATCCATTAATAAATGCTGGAAGTGCCGAGTAAATGCAAAAAAAAAAAAAAAAAAAAAAAAAAAAAAAAAAAAAATCCATGGGGTTAAGCTTCCAACTCTTGTAGCTATCTATGGGAAGTTTCTGGATGCGACCAAGTTTGACTTCTTATTATTATTATTATTATTACTGACTGTAAAAAAACCGATTCGGCAGAACAGTTTCCCTTTTCCCTTTGACCAATGATACCAAATCCCCCTTTTCCCACGGGTTGCTCGGGCACGCCCAAATCTTCTTCCATCTTTACGGTAACTAGGGTAGGCCATGTATGTTTTAAAGTCGTTGATTCTTAGTAGTATTATTATTAGAGAGATTGGAACCCGGTGAATCCAACCTCGGGCTTGGCACAGAAAGAAACAATTGGGGAATTTTGTGCTCGAAACATCTTCCGGTAACTAGTTACCAACTAACCTAACCATCCATATTATTCAGAATAAATAATACACATGGGGAGTATCCATGAGTAAAAAATAAATAAGGAAATAAAATAAAGAAAAAGGGGAACTCCCATAGAAGCTGCTACTGCTGCTACTGCTGCTACTGCTCCTAACCCTGCATGGGGCATGCATGGCATATCGGGTGCCTCCAAAAACGAAAAAGCTGTAAATAGTTAGCTGTAACGTACGTCAGTGCTCAGGAGTGAACAACCAGCTAGCATAAAAAGAAAAAAAAAAGGCAATTAACTAGCGGCGTTAGTTTCTTTCTTTCTTCCCACAAACCCCCCCCACTTGCTCCGCGGCCAATAGTTACAAAACATATCGTCACTCAACTCCATCATCAAGAAACAGACAAAGACAAGACAAGACAAAAAATGGTTTTTACACCTTACACCCTGGTACAGAAACAGTGATGAGATATAATTTGTGTCGCACGAGAGTACCTAGGGACAAGTATGTACATGTACATGTACTGTACGCTAGGCGAGATAGAAAATCGGTATAGATGTTGATGTTAGGTGTGTAGTTCCCGTTTTGGCGTAACCAGCCCCGAAGAATTAAAATTCGATCCCAATGTCGAATTCAGTTCGTCCTGGCCCTCAGATAAAGAGGCGAGGAGGGGGGGGGGGGTGGGTAGGTGGGAACATACCCTGACCCATATTGCAACAATTGCAGGTTGTGTGGTCTTGTTCTCTTCTATATACTCCGTACGGTCACTGGAGTAGTTTGGTACCTACCTGGTACCTTGTTCTCTCTCCTCTCTCTCTCTCTCTCTCTTCCTCCCCTGCGCTGTATCAAAAAAACTCCAGCAGGCCAATAGAGAGGCAGTGGAAAAGTTAGCTCCTCGCAGTGGATAAACCGAGCTTGGGAGAGAGGGGGGGATTGCAATTGCCTTGGATTGCATTGGATATTATTTTATTGGGCCGAAAATATGCCCGTCATTCGGTCCCGACCAGGGCAGCCAACCAGCCAGTCAGTCAGTCAGTCACCCCTGGCGCCATGGACAAGACGGTTGTCAATTATAGGCATAGACGGATACATAATAAAAGATGTCAGGGAAGCTTGGTGCCAGTTGAGGTCATGCTTGCTTCGGGAGGGGGAGGGGAGGTCATCTGGGATTCGGACAAGGTTCAAGGGTGAAAAAGGTTTACTCAAAGAGAGCTCACAAACTTCCAGCATACCATACCTACTCCGTACTCTGTACTCAATTCAAAATATGAGTACAAATACCAATACCGCATAGTATAATTTATATTGCAGAAAAGTGGGTGGAGGGCATCGAGCTCTATTTATCATAAGCATGGCAAGATCGCCTTCTGTATGTTCCCAACCTAACTCCGTTTCCCTTCCCTTCTCTTCCCTCACTAAAGAGTAACCACAGATGACGGAAGATGCAAAAGGGAAAAAAAAAAAAAAAAAGTCCCCCGAGACGAGCAACGTCCCCCCTTGCCCAGCATTTGGACATATATTCTCATAGGCCAAACTTTTTCGCAAAGCGTTCCCGCTCAGATCGTCTGAGGCCACTCTCGAGTCTTCAATTCCTAACTTACCCGTCTAGCTGCAGCGGTTAGTAGGCTGCTAGTTCGAGGGCCCTGGGAAAGTAAAAAAGGGGGGGAAAAAAGAAAGAAAGAAAGAAAGAAAGGAAAGAAAGAGCAGAGCAGTTGTTATTAGTCTGTTACCCATGCGCTTGGTGCATGACATCGCTGCGGCTGTTCCCCTCTCCCGCCCCCGGGAAGATACTCCGTACATTATATCTTCTTGCTGTTGAATTTTTGGCTGAAAGTGGCAGGATAGATATCCCCAGCTGCGTTTCCGTACACTACTGTTCTTAGCCCAGGTGGTGTGTCCATTATTGATCCCCCTGGTGGGGAGGGGTGTGTGTGCATGGTTCGCATGCTGCGTACATTCATTCTCCCCCCCCCCGTTCCGTTGATTCGAGCTAACTACCGACTAACAGCTGCTGTCTTGCTTTAGTGCAGAGTCTAGCGTGTGCTCTTAGCAGGGGTAGAGAAATGGGTAGTGTAGTGCGTCTCTGGGACTTGATACAAGAGAAATGATCGTGCTTCTTTTTCTAATTTTTAATTCTTTTTTAATTTTTTGATGCAACTTGAAGATGATAACTAATTGCTGTATCTTTCTTTTTTTTTTTTTCCTGTTTATGCGAGTACAGCTTCTCTTGTGTTTGTTTTATCCAGTCAGAATAGCATTGCATCATGATGTGTGGCACCGGAACCACACTGTTCATTTTTTTTTTTTTCGTTAGGACTGATCCTCTAATAGTATGTATTGGACTAATAATAAATTCCACATCCCACAAAGCACATCGTGCACGCATCAAAATGATTGGTTAACCACAGAGCTTTGAATGTTTCAATGAAAAACCTCATACTTTTTTATTTATATATTTTTTTTCTCCAGTTGTGGATTATTATTTTCTTTCACCCATTCCACTAGACAGCAGATATAAAATTATAAACAAAAACAAGTTCCCTCATTGAGAAAATGCTAATTTCTTGTGAGGGAAACCCTTTCTCTTTTCCCCTCTACTATGTTTTGTGAACTGTTGTCAGCGCTTATGACATCAGTTGATGCAGGTTGATAGATACAGGCCCGCCGATGGACATGCGCACTTCCGGGTTATTATTGGGGGCCACTTCATGCAACAATTGAGGAAAGAGGAAAGGGGAAAGGGATTTGGAGAAACTGAACCGAAAAGGCCGATCTCTGAACACTGGGTATATAACATCTCTAGCTATATCATGCAGCCTTCACTATCATCAACCTTGGAATCTCGAATCTCCCCGTTTCGCCTTGCCCTTTGGCAGCTACAGCTACCATACTGGCTCACTTCCATCATGCTGTACTGCCACTCCGGCATCGAGCGGGTACATAGCATAGAGAAATATACAGTATGTATGTACAGTACATACGTACATTCCATACGTGCAGACGGACGGAGAGGAATGAATGATCGATTGATCATGCAACAAAACTGGTTCAGCTTATCAATTGCCATCGTCTCAACTATTTCTGCATACATTTACTGCGGCGCTTGCCAGGCAGCAGGAAGAAGTCGGGTTTTAAATCTAACCTGTAGTTCCTACACAAGCAACATTATTCTCTCGTTTCTCTATCCCTCTCTCTCTCTCCCTCCCTATCCTAGCTGGTCCTATTGAGGCCAGTTGAGAGAGGGAGTATGCACTTTCTGGGCCAATGCCATCTACGACATTGGCCATACCACGCCGATATACAAAAAAGGACGTTGTGAGGAAACATCCATTTCAGCGGGGAGCTCAGCTGGAAGCAGGCTAGATGGGATATGACACACTTGTCCATATATTTACTTGGGAGGAAAGGGATTGGGGGGGTGAGCGGGGCGAGAAAAGGGTATATTGTAATATATATATCCCCTCCTCCCCCCCCCCCCCCCCGTCAAATCCCCGTCTTCATTTCCTCTCCACGTTCGAATTCACAAAATGAACCACCACAGCTTGCCTAAAGAAGTTAAAGAGAAGTAAAGAAAAGAGTCAAAAGAGGACTAACTAACTACGCCAGGGCTTGTTTCAAATAAATTTCGCTTCCCACATTCTTCTCATCTTCTCTTCTTCTCTCTTTCCCGTCTCTCCCTCTCTCCCCGTCGAATCCAAGACCGAGATGACACACCATGTAAAGCGCATGCATGTCAGGTCTCAATTGAAATCCTGCACGGGGTCACGGATCGGTTGCCCTCCCCTTCTATTGATACCGGAATAGTGGTCATGCGAGGCTTCATGTATATATATATATATATATACGTATAAATAAATAAATATGTGTATGTGTGTATATAGGTAATGGGTTGTTGGGGGGGCACAGCTTGTATGATTTATGCCTGGCCCAACCTGGGGGTTCGAGCATATATAGCTCATACAGGTTGCATGCATGCATAATGAGGGATTGGCAGGAGGTCGGATTCAAGCTCAAAGCGGTTTTTCTTCTTTTTTTTTTCTTCTTATTTTTTTTTACTTCTCTCTTCCTTTCTCTTTTTCTTTCTTTTCTTTCCTTCTTTCATCTCACGGTTTTCTACTGTTAATATAAATCGTGAAACAGCCTGGTTGTACGGCGGGGGAAAATGAATATCATATCATAATATATCATCTGTCAAGCTTTGAATTCGTGTTTCTTTCTTTGCTTTTGTGCTCGCTGTGCTGATATATTCTTACCCTGTAGGGCAGTGCACAGCCTGAGGAACTGCAATTTGCAATAATAGAGATAGTTAACTATGTAAACTAAATAATCTCGGTGATATATATATATATGTTTTAAGCTGGAGTTTTACACCCTAACTAACAATTGGAAGTTTGCTTTTACATTACGGAGTACAGAGCTTTGAGCACCCCCGTCCATCCGTCCACCCGTGCTCGTTGCTACGTCACTTGTTCTGTACGGGCAAATGTTTCCACTACGACAGAGGGGATATATGGAGTAAGCTAATGGCGGTTCAATGGTATATCCTGATATGCATACCCAAACCCATTATTGCTAGAGCTGTCTGTCCTAAATATCTATGTTGAAAGGATTGGTTGGATGTGGATTCAAACCCCCAGCGCTAATCATATATTATTATTTCGTCTAATTCTTTGCCGTACTTAACTTGAGGAGAGAACTGTAATATTTTACACCGGACAAAAGGTTCTTGCCCCTTTCCCTTTTTCTTTCTTTCTTTATTTCTTTCTATTTTTTTTTTTTTTTTTTTTTTTTTTTTTTTTTTTTTTTTCTTTTACTCCTCAAGCGGTCCTCCCTTTCTCCTCAGTTCAATCCAAAATCATCCCAAAAGGCGGAATTGACGGGCACGAAACTGCATTTGTCTTTTACGGAGCCTATATATAGTGGATGTCTGGATGGGGTAGGTTTCCCGCTTCAAAACGTAAGCTAGCATAAGAAAAGCGGAGGAGAAGGGAGGTAGGCTCATAAGCTGGATTCTTTCATTGAATCAATCCAGGCTGAACTCGCCCTTTTGACAATACGGAATGTATTCGACGTTAGGGAGCATGGAGTAAAGACTTGGCGTTTCAGGAACACGACAGGCGATGAATCATGGATGCGGGACAATTGCGCGACACACGGACGGAGGGAAATACGTACGCGCACCCAAGACGCGGACACAGACACAGACGCAGACACAGAAACAGAAACAGCTGACGAAAGCAGAAACCAAAGCCACCATTGGGAAATGGGAAGCGGAGGGGATAAAAAGACGGAAGGGGAAACATGTCTATAGATAGAATATTGGAAATCGTAATGAACAGATGGAAATGGAAATGGTTTCTTGGAAATAGATTATATCTTTTTATTTTGTTGCTGCCCTAGTCCCTAGTCCCTAGCCCCTAGGGATAGGTAATTCAAGCCATCTTGGATATACACAAAAAAAAAGAAGTAGACAATGGAAAACGGAAAAGGAAGACGGGGAAAAAAATAATAAACTAAAATGAAACAAAGGACACGCGCAGAATGACGAAATCTCTTTAAAAAATAATGGTCTCGAGAATCAGAAGTGTGGATGGTGGAGGCGTTTCACTTCTGCGCCAGTTACCCACAATGCTGCTAAGGGATTTGGGACGGGTGGATAGATGTACACGTAGATAGATGTGGATGTGGGGTGTAGATGGTGTGTGGGACGAAGAGTGAAGATATGATAGAGCTATTAAAACACGGGGTTGGAAGGGGAAGGTTAATTCGGTGGTGAGATGTGAAGGGGGGTGGTTTTCGGAGGTTGGTAGCAGAAAGGAGAGATGATGATAGGAGCAGGGTCGTGTAGAGGAGCATTGCGATTAGGATTTGTTTTCCTTGTCTTGCTTTTTGGTCATCTAGTTTCTTGTCCTTCTCATGTCATGCGATTGGACGGGAATGCATCGGGGCTTTTCAAACTTAGAATGGCGGGGATGGAACGTTGGGCATTTCGCCGGATTCTTGCTGCTCCATCAGCTCTTCCGAGGCCATTTCGAAGGAGACGGCGAGACCGATCTTGGCTTGTTGCTGTTGATAGTAATAGATTCGGTTAGCTGGGATTGCTTTTTCTCTGCCATAAATTTCTACCACTTGACGACATGTAGGAAACATACCTTGACTTGATCAATCTCTCCAGCGAAAGTCAAAGAGATAGGCATGGCGACGCGCTTTTCCAAGAGACAGCTCAGCTTGCCAGCACTATCGATTTGTGCGCGGAAGGTAGATGCTCTGAATTCGTATTTGGCTCCGACAGTCGTGGTGCCCTCTTTGCGGATGTCACCCATCAATCCCGAGGGGCTAGGGGCGAACTGGAGGTTCATATCAACGCCGGCCTCAACCTTATCAGACAGCTTCTTCCAGTACGAGGCATTGATGACGCCTTGAGCTTGAAGCTGGGCACTGGCAATCCAATCATCTCCCTTGTACTTGGCGCAATAGGACAGAGCGGTTTCGGGCGGGACGCTGAGGCCCTGTCGCTGCCACATGGCCTCAAGACCCAATGCGAGGCTCGGGGTGACGGATTGAAGATAGCTTCCGACGAATATTCCGGTGATGCCGCCTTCTAGGAAGGATGGGTTGAAGGCCTTGAGAGACGCGGAGAAGTCTGCGCCGGTGTAGTCGTTGTCAATCTGGATCAAACCCTGCGCACTTCCGGGCATTATCTGGGTGTTTGTCTTTGTAACCCATGCGGAGTTCCATCTGTAGTTGGCGACGGCGGCAAGGGCTCCATCACTACCGAGGTTTCCTTGTAGGAAGACCTTTTTCCACCGTTAGATCTATCTCCGATACCCCAACACGAAAGTTGTTACAGATGCGAGGTGGATTTGGTACATACCTTAGGAGATCCGAACATGGAAGAAAAGGCATACGGAGGCAGGGTTCCTTGCTGCGAACCCATTGTGAAGGCGTGGGAGACGCGGAAAAGAGGAGACATGCCGAAGACCTTTGTCAGATCTGCCCGGAGGCCTGTGAACATGAAATTGGAGAGCAGGACATCCTTTTGGACTTCTCTGGAGACATTCTCTACGGTTCCTGGATTGGACAAGCCCAGCGCTTCCCTTCGGGCGGAGAATGAACTATATGCATCTTTGAGGGCGTCGACTACAGAGTTATCTGAGAGGAAAGCGAGGGCGTCGGACATATTGGGCGGGAAGGACACGGAGGGTTCAATTTAAGACAATAAAAATAAAAAGGAATTCGAGGGCCGCCTCTACAATGAACAGAAGGGAATGAGGCGAAATAAAATAGAAAGGTCTCAGTAGTAAAGGCAGCCCGGGAGCAATGGAGCTATTGGCGTATAACAAAACCTTTGCTCGGAGGATGGTGATATTGTTTCCAGGTTCTCTTTCTAGGAAATTATAGAGCGAAGTTGGAAGGTTTGAACATTTTGATACACTAGTGCACTTTGGGACTAGCGCCCCGCCTCGGTTCATGTCAGGCTTGGCGCTCCCCGTCCATCCCCAACCCCAACCGGGAGACGGAATATCCATAACAGAGAGAGATATATACAGACAAGGACATTCGTCAGCCTGCGTCTGGGTCTGTGTCTGTGTCTGTGTCTGCGTCTGCGTCTGCGTCTGTTGGAAATGTCGCTGTTGTTGGCTGTCGTTCTCGTCTGCGGATAAGAACTGTTCGTTGTTGGGCTGAAGCCCTATTCCGGCTCTGGCCCTAGCTGGCTGCTATCTATCTATATACGCTTGCTGGGAGTCTGCCGTAAATCCCCCCCCCCCAAGTGACATACACTATTATCTATTCTCTCTATCTATATACACACACACACATATATATATATATATATACATCCTCTACCTACATTGTACTCCCAAGCATATCTTACCAGATATCAGGGATCCAAATCCCATTCCCTCTGTTCTTGTGAGGTTAGGATCAGCACTACGTCAAGCATGGACACACTCCTGTATGAAGCTCCCACTACCACTATTATTCCTCTTGACCTACCACCTCACGGTTAGATATATAATTCTAGTCCTCTAACTAGCTAGTTAGGACAGCGGATGTCGTCGCAACCTCTCCCCGCTTCCAGAAAAAGTCGAGCACCTCCGTCGACGCCATCCATGATCTTCCAGAGACAGGCGAGCTTGCCCCCGCTCAGCTCTACAGCACAGAGTCCGGACGCCTCTTCCACTCCGGGCGTATAGTAATCATCACCGTCGGCTTGCCAGCTAGGGGCAAAACGTTCGTAAAGCCCTCATCTCTTCTTTTTGTTTCTTTTTAATAGGAATTTAGTGAGCTAACTCTCCTCGGTTTGACTCTAGACACATATCTGTTGCGCTTGCACGGTACCTCAGATGGTTCGTGTTTACTTCCATTGATTCATTTATCCTCAACTTAACTGTTAGTGAGCTGACCTAGCCGATATATATAGGCTCGGTGTGAAGACGCGGATATTCCATCTGGGCGACTATCGACGTGCGACTGTCGGGCCTGGTCAGGATGTTCCTGATGATTACTTCTTTGTCAACGGTGAGTGAACGCTAAAGTATTATCATTGTTGATTTCCCTCTATACATCCATTCTGGTACCCCTTTTCTCCCCCCTTAATTGCTAGAGCTGCTAGATAAGACCTTTCTGACAATGCAAAACTCTACAGCATCCGCCTCGTCCGTCCTCCTCAGACAAAAAATTGTGAAAAAGTGTAGAGAAGACATCTATCATTTCCTAAACCACGAGAACGGCCAGATTGCCATATACGACGCTGTGAACCCAATTGCCGCTGGTCGTCGGTCCCTAGCAAAGGAATTCGCTAAGCATGACATTGATGTAAGACCCCTGAAAAATGCGCTGGGTATAGTGCTATATGATGGGCAGGCATACTAACATTCACTTATTCTCTAGACACTATTCATCGAGTCGCTGTGTGATGATGAGAGGATAATTGAAGAAAATGTCCTGAGCGTAAAGATATCTTCTCCAGACGTATGTTGTCGTGCCATACATGTACCTCGCTGGGTGTGCTGAAACTAGTTTGCTGAGTTTTCTTTATGATGACAGTACGTTGGATGGGACCCCAAGGATGCTGTAAAAGATTATCTGGCGCGAATCTCGGCTCGGATACCGCAGTTTCAGACTATGAATGAATCGGAGCTGAATTATATCAAGGTTGGTAATTACGCCGGCACTCCTTTCACCATCCCTTCCTGAATTGTTTTTCTTTCTCTCATGTTTTTCCTTACTTAAAGGTGAGCATCATATTAACATGCAAGGTAGATGATCAACGCCGGCGAGCGCATGATGATCAACAACCGCTCCTTCGGCTACCTGCACCACCGGATTGTCTTCTACCTGCTCAATTTACATAACAAATCACGACATACATATTTCGTGCGGGTAAGCTTTAATACTACGTCTCCCCTCTGGACATGATAATTTGGCTGACAGTGCGAAACCAACTCAGGCTGGAACCTGCCTGGACCCAAACTCCTACAAAACCGACGCACCCCTCTCCGAACAAGGACTGGACTATGCTCGCAAAATGACCGAGAGACTCCTGCAGCACCGTGAATCAGAGAGACAGGCACTTATCGCTGAGCAGGGTGATGATGCTGACACGGAGTTGAAACCACTTACGGTGTGGACATCCACCCGGCGCCGGACAGTGGAGACTGCACAATTCCTACTCGAACGGGGCTACAAAATACGCCATCGGTCACAGATGAGCCAGTTGAACCCTGGTGTCTGTGAGAAGATGTCCGAAAGGAGGATTCGGCAGGAGTATCCTGATGAGGTTGCAAAGCATGAGATGGATCCGTATCATCATCGGTACCCGCGGGCTGAGTCGTACCATGACCTCGCCGTGCGTCTTGAACCGATTATCCTTGAACTTGAACGGGAGCGGAATGACCTACTTATCATTGCGCATGAGAGTGTCCTGCGTGTGCTGTATGGGTATCTGATGGCTTGTAATGCTGCAGATATCCCGTTCTTGTCATTTCCGCGCGATGAGATTATTGAGGTATGTCGTAAAACATTTTCCCCCCCCTAGAACCCTTGATAATATTCCTATATGCATGGCACACACGTCTAACATATTCAAACAAAAAAGATCATCCCAGCAAGCTACAACAACAAAGCGAAACGCATACATATCCCCGATCTCCCGCCGGAGATTATCCCCGCATCGCCAGAGGATATCAAAATACCTGTTCCACCGAGTGGAGTTGTCTCTCCGATGCCTGGTGGGTTGGACGGGAATGGGAATGGGAGTACTAACGGCGATGGTGGCGGTGGGGGTGAAAATAGTGGTGTCGGTACAGCGGGACTGAGTATCCCGCGCGGAGCCACTCCGGCAGGTGGGTTCAGGCCGCAGAGGGATGGAGAGAAGATTTTGCAACATCATGCGGAGGATGTTGTTTAGGGTTTGGGCGTTTGTTTTTGTGAGTGTGTGCTGGGCTGAATGCTCTTCTTTCGATGATGAAGCTATGGGATGATGGAATATGTTGTCCAGTATTTCCCACGCATTTCTTTTATGCGTGATGTTTCATGTTTGATGATCGATAACTGATGCTTGATGTCTGACATGAGTGTTCATTCCTTCCTTTTGTTTTTCGAGCGAGTGTCGCTCGTTTTCGTTTCGTTTGGCTTGGATTATAATATAGAAAAGAAAGAAACATATTTATTCCCTTGATATATTGATTTCCCTCCTCTTACTTTGAACAACAGCGAAGAATTATCTTGTCCATCCCTCGTTACCCGCCATGCAACGTAGAGACGAATAATATATTATCCCCCTGCTGAATCTGATACTTCTCCTCGCCCTCTAATTCCCAATCGGCATCGTTTATTAGGACGAGGATCCCAGGCCGTCTAAATTTATATGTAGATAAGGAATTACATCCCCGCCATTATTAGCCAGAAATTCAAATATCCCTGTATTAATAATACTGATGCACACGCCCGATAACCAACCGACCATATATAGAGGGTATCTACTTACACAGCCCCATCGACCACAAATAACTCCTGCCGCTGATCCTTCATGAGATTTTCTATTAGGTAGTGGACGAGGGAGGTTATGGATGTTGGCTCGGGTTCCCCGCTCGACGGGGACGGGTATGTGGCGGGAATGGAAAGGGTGTGTTTTCGTTTGTTCTCGAAGAGTAATTCGAGACCGCCACTGTGTTAGGATAAGGGTATGGATCTATGTTAGCTTGTGGACTGAGGGGGAAATGGGAGACGGAGAGCAGGAGGGGGTTTGGAATCGTACCTGAATTCTACCGTGATGGAGAGGGACTGGGAGGGAGATGGAGTGGTTATGGAGCCCATGATAACTGTTTGCTTGCCGGGTATATCTACAGAGGAATAAATAGAGAATAAAAGAGATGTTAAGGTGGTGAAATTGTTTGGTGACCTAGGACCTAGAGTGAGTGATGTTAAAGTAATAATGTATGGGATGTTCTTTTTTTTTGTTGCGGGGAATTATTTTCTTATCGATAAGGAAAAAGGTTTGGGCTGAAATTTCCAACACCAACCACCGACAAATGGAATACATAAATAACACCACCAAGAATAACCCAACAACCTAGTTAAACGCACTACAGGCGCAAATCGACATACATGGAGATATAATAATAGCCATCTCCTTCTGTTAGACAACAATCCAGCCGCCAGCGCCATGGCGCCCTCAACCCTCACTGCCCTCACCGAATACATCTCCGTTGGCGGAAACAGACATCCCTCCGCCGCGGACTGGGACGAGAACACGGGAATTCTCGCTTTTGGCGCTGATAACAATGTGGCCCTCTGGGATCCTACTGTATGCCCTTATTAATATTTCTTGCTGCTTGAGTCAATTGTAACAAATATAGTATAGTGTATATTCTTACAATTTGCTTTTTTTCTGTTGGAGCGCGAATAGGACAAATATAAAACGGGGGTATATGCTCTGTTAAACGGCCATACTGATGAAGTCAACGCGGTCAAATTCTACACGTTTCCCTGCTCAGATGGTGGTTCCCACCATTTCCTCCTCACCGGCTCCGCAGATCGGACGATACGGGTCTGGCGGCGGCAGGATAATCATGAATCTGATACCGCTCCATCTAAAGCTACATCTACTCCAACAAGACCGTCATTCTCGCACGTTGCAACCCTCGACGGCCACGATGGTGCCATAAATTGCATTGATGTCGCGCGCGGCTCTGGGCTGTTTGTATCTGGCGCCGCAGATGGGACGGTGAGGGTGTGGAGACTTAGAGAGATTAAGGGGGACAGTGGTGCTGCTGCTTCAACGATAGACGGCCAATTAATGCAAACGATTACGCTGAAGCCGAGGTATTTCGCGTTGACGCTCGCATTGAGGGCGCTTCGCGGGAAGAAAGAAGAAGGGGGGAAGGATGCCGGGTCTGCGCCACCTATGGTGTTGGCTGTGGGCGGAACGAGGACTGCGATACAGATATATGTGATGCAGGACGGGGGAGGGGATGCGGAAACGGAGGCACGTCAATTCGAGCTTAAAGCTAATCTTACCGGTCATGAGGCTTGGGTGAGGTCTCTTGCTTTTACAGATATGGATGTTGAGCAGAGTCAGTCACAGTCACAATCACAATCGCAATCTCAGGATTTCTTCCTTGCATCTGCTAGTCAGGATAAATACATTCGTCTCTGGCGCGTTCATACAGGCGATGATGTTTTCCCGGCTCGAAAGAACGATGACGATGAAGGGGTAATATTGGGAGGGAACCTCGAGCAGACGCTTTCTAACAAAGCGCATGAATTCGCGGCGAGCGGATCGAAGTATTCGGTTACTTTCGAAGCTCTCCTGTTCGGCCACGAGGACTGGATTTACACCGTCGCATGGAACCCGGACCCAAAAAACCCAAAGCTCCTCTCTGCCTCTGCTGATAACTCGCTCGTTATCTGGGAATCGGACCCGGTATCTGGTGTCTGGTACTCCGCCGCGCGCATGGGTGAGATTAGCTCTCAGAAGGGATCTACCACCGCCACGGGCAGCACTGGTGGGTTCTGGATCGGCCTCTGGTCATCCCGTGGTGATACGGTGGTCAGCCTGGGCCGCACAGGTTCTTGGAGATTGTGGGAGCATGAGAGCAAGTCCGATTTGTGGGTACAGAACATCGCTGTTACGGGCCATGTGAGAGCGGTTAATGGGATTGAATGGGAGCCTACAAGTGGGGGCTACCTGCTGTCGACGAGTTCAGATCAGACTACGAGACTACATGCGAGGTGGAAACATGGCAATGACAACGGGTGCTGTTACTCATGGCATGAATTTTCCCGCCCACAGATCCACGGCTACGATCTTAACTGCATTGCTTCATTGGGACCATGGCGCTTCGTCTCCGGCGCTGATGAAAAGCTTCTCCGCGTCTTCAACCAGACAAAAGCAATCGCAAACCTCCTCGAGAATCTAACCGGCTTCACCGGCGGAGTCAAGCCGGCCGACATGCCTGAGGCCGCTAACATCCCCGTTCTTGGCCTCTCCAACAAAGCTGCTGACGACGACGTAGATCTCGCCGACGAAGGAGAAGGAGAAGATACCCAATCCGCACCCGCACCGGAAGCAACCCCACAAGCCTCTGCTCTCCACCTCCCCCACCCACCCCTCGAAGATCATCTCTCAAAATACACCCTCTGGCCTGAGCACGAAAAGCTCTATGGCCACGGCTACGAAATCTCCGCCCTCGCCACCAGCCACGACGGCACGCTCATCGCTACAGCTTGCAAAGCCAGCTCGCTGGACCACGCCGTTATACGCCTATACGACGCTGCAGCGACGACATGGCATGAGATCAAGCCGTCGTTGGCGGCGCATTCGTTGACTGTTACTTGTTTAAGGTTTTCGGCGGATGATAAGTTTTTGGTTAGTGTGGGGAGGGATAGACAGTGGGCGGTTTGGAGGCGGGAAGGTAAGGAAGAGGGGGATGAGAAGAGGGGGGTTTTTAAGTTGTTGTGCGCGAATCCGCGGGGTCATTCGAGGATGATCTTGAATGCGAGTTGGGCGCCGGTTATTGGGAGCAGTGGGCCCAGAGTGTTTGCGACGGCGGGACGGGATAAGACCGTGAAGGTATGGGTGCAGGAACAGGAAGAGAACCAGGGGGTGTCTTTTACGTGTAAATCTACCATTTCATTTACGAGTCCCGTTACGGCTATTGATTTCCTATCTGAGGTTGTTGGCGGGGATCGGTTTTATCTTGCTGTCGGTTTGGATACGGGGAGGATTAGCTTGCATGCATTTGCGATTGATGGGCTTGGGGAGGTTCAGGAGGGGATGGCGTTGCCGGGGTTGGAGTGTCCGTCGAAGGCTATTACGCAGTTGGCATGGAAGCCGGTCTGTGCAGAAGTAAAAGAAGCGGATGAAGGGTATGAACTTGCTGTTGCGAGTGAGGATAGCTCAGTGCGGGTTTTTAAGATTTTGGATTTGTTTCCATAGCCAACGGGAATGTTATTAAATGAATGTGTCACATGTGTCATGGACAATAACTATTTATATATGAACATAGAAATTTTTCCTGGATATATTTTTGGCGTTGAGGCCTGCCTCCCTTTGAAGCTCTAAAAAGGCCTTCCCAGCCATCAGTATCCGAAATCCCAAATATACAGTAAAATGAGCTTATGGTGGTTGAAACTCACTTACAACGAAAGCATAATGCGCCACATGAAGCATAGCTATAGGAAAAAGTGCCCCGTTTTTGCAAATACCAATACCCTCTATATCGGCCTCCCATTATTCAACCGGAAGCTGTTTCCCCTCTCCCGGTAGGCCCGGCCGTGGTCCTCTCTCCCTCAAATCTCTTTTCAACCACTCCAACACCACCTCTCCCAACCGACTATTCTCGGAACCAGAAACCTGCTTCCCCATCTCAAACTTCTCAATGGGTCCCGAATCCCTCACCCGGCCCAAATGCATATGTACTAAGTGCGTCGGCCACTTGGCCAGATTATCCAAGATATGAGTAGCATACACAATCGTACACTCCCGCTCCTCCGTCTCCCGCTTCAGAAACCCCAGAAACTCACTCCGGCTCAACAGATCCAGGTCCACCGTGATCTCATCAAGTAAGAGCAGGGTCCAGGGCCGTAACAGGCCCATGGCAAGTTGTACGCGGCGTCGTTCCCCATCGGAGACAGCGTGCATGTGCCAGTTGAGGTCTATGTCGAGGATTCGGACGAGTTGGTCGCGGCGGGCTGGGTATGCGTCACCGCCGACGGAGGCTAAGAGGGTAGGCACGTCTATATCTGTGCGGACTATGGGATTCAGAACCCATTCGACGCCTAGGTAGGTTACGCCTTCGAGACCTGTGGTGAACGGGTCTATGCCGCCGATTAGCACGGTGCCGTGGGGGGCGAGGCGTTTGCCGGAGAGAAGGCGGAGAAGGGTGGTTTTGCCGGCGCCATTGGCTGTGTTGTTTTTTCCCACCAGAAGGGGGATAGATTTGTTAGTAAATAGTTTAAACTCGGTGGCTAGTTTGTATATATGTCTATGGCACCTGTATGTGTTTAAGCGGGGGTGGGGTGCGGGGTGGAAACGGGAAGTAATTCTCAAAAGGAAAGGGATATTTACCGCCAATCAGTAGGGTTCGGCTGCCCTTAGGGAGATCGAGATAGATATCAGTCAGGCCAGTAGTGCCATCTGCAAATTTATAGTTGAGACCGCGGACCTGGATAGAGGTATTGGGACTGGATGGCGTCATGAGGCCCGGGAAGGGAAGGAGAGGAGAGGGCGGGGGCTGCGGGATGGCTATTATTTTTAATGTTGATGGCAGGTTGAGAATTGCTGAGAGGCGAATGGGGTGTCTATTCGGACTGCTAGTTTCTACAGGTATATTGAGAGGAATTGAAGTCGTTGTATGTAATATAGTAAGTAGAATGAATGATATCTGATATCCGATATCTGGCGGAGGGGGGATGTCATGTATTTATACGGTATGGCTGTGTATTGTACTCACTCAAGAGGCTATGTTCTACAGTTCTATTCTTTGAAACTACAGTAGGAAAATGTCTATGTTGTGCTGATTACTACATCTTCGAGATCGTTTAGTTTATCTTGATAAATTTATATATTATAGAAAATAGATATTGAAAGGGTGAAGCTACTCCGTGTTGCTCTGCGTTTCTGTTGTATTATAAATACACCCTAATACGACGGGTTAAATACAGCTCGTTTAACATTTTTTAGCCTCAGGCAACGTCGTCTATCCCCCGATAAAAAATCAACAACTAAAATATGAAAAATTCCAAATCCTGATGCTCAGGTTCGTCTGGTCGCTGGGCATGTCTTCTAGAGTCCCAGGAGAACCCCTCATTGCCGTCATCGGCGCGACGGGAACTGGAAAATCTAAGGTATGAACCAAAAGCCAAGCTGGCAATTGCTTTTATATGCATAAAATATATCCTTTATATCAATTGTGATGCCTGCCAAACAATAGAATTATATTGTAAAAGATTAATAAGTTAATCCCGCCTCACAGCTCGCCGTCGACCTTGCCACCCGTTTCAACGGTGAGATCATCAATGGCGATGCCATGCAGATGTATAGGGGGCTGCCTATCATCACCAACCAGATCCCCATTGAAGAACGGCAAGGCATCCCGCATCATCTTCTTGGATGTATAGGTTTTGACCAGGAGCCCTGGCGCATTAGCCATTTCAAAAGGGAATGTCTACGTATCATCAAGGAAATCAGGGCGAGGGGGAAGCTGCCCGTTCTTGTTGGTGGGACGCATTATTACACTCAGGCAGTCCTATTTAAGGAAGCTATCTTGGATCGCGGTGGGGAGAGTGATGAAACTGGTAGGAGTGGTGACGAGGAGAAGTTGTTGATGGATGGGGAGAGTGAACCGATAGATGCTGCTACTCGGCGATCTGAAGATTTTCCCATTCTAAATGCGGCTCCAGAGGTGATATTGCAGAAACTACGGGAAGTGGACCCGGTAATGGCGAGCCGCTGGCATCCTAATGACACGCGCAGAATATACCGCTCGCTGGAGATCTATCTGCAGACTGGCAGACCTGCGTCAGAGATTTACCAGGAACAGCAAAAACTCAAAGATGCTGCCAACATCCCACAGGAGTTAGCGGATGTAGAAAATACTGCCACCGATATTTCACCAGCCTTCGCGGGCGCTGGCCATCTGCGCTTTCCGACACTTCTATTTTGGGTCCATACTGAAGACCAAGAACTAACTCGCCGGCTCTCTCGGCGCGTCGATAACATGGCCGAGCAGGGCCTCGTCGCAGAGGCGGAGTCACTGTTTAACTACCTCAACGAGAAAAGGGCACAAGGGGTTGAGATAGATCGCACGCGTGGCGTCTGGGTGTCCATAGGCTTTAAGGAGCTGGAGCCTTATTTCCGGGCACTTCCGCCTTCCACCCCCTCCGCCTCCCACCCCACCGGCGCCGGCGTGGGGAATATTATCAGTGACAGCGCTGATAATAGTACAAGTATCGCAGTTCCAACCCCCGAACAACTCGCCAACTTAAAACAATCCTGTCTCAACTCTATAAAGTCAGCTACTCGACACTATTACCGCCAGCAGGTACGATGGATCAGAGGCCGGTTATGGAATGCCCTAACAGACGCCCATTCTTCACGGCAATTATACGTTTTAGACTCGACGGACGTCAGTGCCAATCCCGGCGCTTGGGATAGCGACGTGCGCGAGCCTGCTGAACGTGTCGTGGAGGCGTTTTTATCCGGAGGTGCTGAGGCGTGTCCGGATCCCCGCGAGCTTTCGGAGTCTGTGAGGAAGGTTTTCGAGACGCAGCTGCGGAGTCCCGTGGCGACGGGAGAAGGGGAGGGGGAGGAAAGGGCTCGTCAGAGGACTGTGTATAAGTGTTCGACGTGTGATGTATGTGGGATCACAGTGCAGTCGGATGAGCAGTGGGAGGTGCATGTTAAGGGGAGGAGGCATAAGAGGGCTGTTAAGAGTGCGGAGAAGAGGAGGGCAAAGGATGAGTATTTTGAGGCAAGGAGGGAGAAGGGGGATATTCATAAGGGCGCTGTGGATGGTGATCGGAATTTGGATGAGGGGTCGGGTGGTGAGGTGGCTCAGGGGACGGGGAACGGGAACGGTGAGGATGAGGGCATCTGCAAGGACAAGTGATTTTCTTGTTATTTTTTCGGCGGATTGAACTTTCTTATTTTATTCTATACTGATGCATATAGCGTGTTGGATGGGCGAATATATCTTTTGGCTGTGATACCCATGGATTATGGAATTGGTTTCGGTTAAAGATCTCAATAATTGAGGGTAGATAGCAGATTGCATAGGGAATTGGTACAGAATAGGAAAAATATCTGCATGCAAGCACCTAGTTTTCAATACGATTTTTTTTCTTTCTTTTACCTTTAAGTAATCGTGAGCTATACGCATATCTGATATTTATCCATGTTTCAACGTGCATAGCATTGCCAGCTTATGAGAAACATGTCTAACGCAATCAATAGTTACAAATACACAAGGTTCCATATCCCTTTCTGTCGACAACACCATAGAAAGAATAGAGAAAGGAATAGGCCCGATATGATATCGCAATCACTGTTAGTCTATCTGACGCCACGTCCACGTCTTGGAGCGCAAACCTGAAGGGACGTCCAAATGAAAAGAGCCTGCAGCTGTATGGATGAAATATTTCTTATGCATACTTTGATTCATAGTCCCACTGCCTCGTTCTTTAGGCTCCAAGGCGCCGTATCGGCTTAGAGACGGCGCGTGGGTCAGCCTCGTACACCACTGACCTCGCCCCTTCGCTCGATTTTCGATTTGGACATTCCTGGCGAGCGAATATTAAATAGGATTCGTGAGTTTTGGGCCGACTTGGGCATTCGGGACCCCTCTCAATTGATGAGGGATATAGGTAGACAACTAGTCAAATCTGCGGCCTGATGTTGAACTGCTGAACCATGTGTCTATCGCCGCAAAGCCTGTATTGCTTTCAGTTTTCACTTTGTAGACCGCCAGTCAACAAAGGCCTGAGAAAGGATTCCTCCATGTCCCGAATCCTCCAACTTAAAAACCTCAATAACAGGAGATTTCTCCTGCCGGCGGATTCTCCATAATCCCTCATCCTTGATTACGAGTTTGAGCCCTTGTTTTTATCGAAATAATTAGCCTATACCCAGTGTATAATACCTCATTGAAAAATGAACTAAACAATAGTTTTAGCGCTGATTCAAACCACTTACATTCCAAAAGCTTTGCCGTGAAATTGATACAAACATTCCCATCCCAAGTGCCTTTGCCCTTCCTGCTAACTAGCCCTGGTATATCACGAGTGGCCATCTCTTCCAGCCGGCGGAGGATACCATGTTCATCGCGGAAACCGACGATGATTTTAGGAACACCGAGAAGGAACGATTGGGCCCAGAATTTAAGCAACTTGCGCTCGTATTTGAACATATCTCTGTCGTTGCGGATTTCGGCAGAGGTTTTTAACTCAACCCAGTTTATGGGATCTTCTTTTCTCTCGGGTTTACTGTCCCATACTAACAATTTTTATTGTAGTTTATCTTCTGTTAGTTTTCCGTGGAAATTCGTTCCCTTTTCTGTAAAATCTGTCTCTGTTTGACGATTTATTGAGAGGGGGAATTTTTGGAATTAGTCTCACCAGCGTCAACTTCACCACCGAGGACAATTTTGCATCCCCCTATCCCTGTGCGAACGACGGAACAGTATTGTGCTTTATTGTTGACAACTTGGTCTTCGCGACCCTCAATCTTTTCACGAGGTGTAGCGTCCCATGGCTGATCCAAAAGAGATAGCGTTTCAAATTTATAACCTGGAAGGATGCCGCGAGGCATTAGTTGATCAAGTTGCCATCTAGTTCCGCATGCATTCCAGGTGGGAGTTTCGTACCCCAAAATGCCATCATATCCTGTGAAGGAACGCCGGGTGGCATCTTTTGGTTCCTCTGTGACTGCTTCTGGGCAAGTTTATATGCGTTGTTTTCCTCGATGAAGCTGGAGCAATTGGGCAACCAAGCGTTAGAAAGGGGTTTAGGAAGCCAAAGACTTAGAATTTTAATTGAGCACTTACATTGAACCCTGTCGAGATTAATATTAGAATATTGATATTACTTCATTTATGTCTCCAATTACATATCGAAATAGTAAAAAGGGCGGGTAGAGGAGCAGAAAACTCACCTGGTAGCATGTGGCATTCATCTCAAACCTATTGAAAACCACCTTCAGTCCCAAAACTTAAACCCTTTAATCATCATTTGCTTCTTTCATAATAGACACAGATAATACATGGACAATCAGTACCCGTTCATATTATCAAACGGCGCTGTCATTATCTTTGCTGAACCCATCAGCCCATCTTGCTCCGGACCCAGGTAACATGGAATTGAATTGAGTCACAGTCCAGACCGGAACTTCTTTCCAAAAGAATATATAGGTGCGAAAATGATATATAAAAACAAAAGGAAAACTCTAGAGAAGAGGGGAGAAAGGTAGAGAGGGTATAAAAAACACACCTTTGTCATCATCCCCCTCCACGTAATGATATCCGCCTCACATTGCGTGCCGGTTTTCTTCTCCATATCAATTATCGTATCCAGAAGGGCATCCAGGTGCTCATCGCCCGTGTCATCGAGCTGCTCAAACGTATCGAAGCCCTTATTTAGATCAGCCGGTAGGCGTGGAGTGTAATAGTAGCGCAGGGAGGACTCGTCGAGGTGGAAGTTGTGCTGGTCGTCGTAGGAGAAGTAGGCGATTTCCTGAAGATGGGCGTTAGATTGGACAGTTTGTTTTGATATTTTCGAGCTCAGAGGACTTGCTTTTGGCCTGCGGATGGCCGCATTGAACCCGGCGAAGCGTTCAACGGGCTGGATATCAAAGATTTGGGAGTTCATGGAGTTGGTGGTGTCGGCGCAACGTTGGATATGATATGGAGGTATGGGATACGGAGTGGAATTGGAATTGGTCTTTTATATCAAGGCCATATCTATTGGAAAACAGCAGTAGATTTTTATTTGTTCAAAGTGTGCTGCGGATAAATCCTTGCTTGTGGGATGGACATTTATTTAATTGTTAGTGATGTTTGATGTTTGGTTGTTCCCAGCTGAGAAAGCTTAAATATTTTATCCTCCTCTCCGCCAGCTTCAGCCTCCACTCTCCTCATAGAGCTAGCTATTCAATATACATATATATTTAAAATATGCTCAACCAACACCTGAACCAGCCCTCTTCTCTCTGATGATGGATGCTCTACTGTAGTGCTGTTTTCGTTCCACACTCTCAGACCTGTCTAAATTCATACACCACACATATCGACATCCCTCGAAACCCCTCCATCCACACACGCTATCCCACCCTCACCGAAACGACCATGACGTCCCGAATCGAAAAGACCATAGCCCGACAGCAAGAGAAGTAAATAACTACTAGGCCCCTTACAAAATAAAAGGAAATAAAGAAAAACAAAACCAAATCTAACCACATCCTAAACTACCTCCAGAATCGCCGCAGGCGCCTACTACGAATCCCACCAACAACTCCGCGTCATTGCTGCCCGCTACCTCAAGCAGCAGAACTACGATGCCGCCGCCGATATCCTAGCAGGAGGTGCAAAGGCTCTCCTGAGGGCCCCTGGCGCATCTGCGTCAGGCGGTGATTTGGCGATTATGTTGATTATCGATGTGTATAATAAGGCGGAGTGGGAAGTGGGCCGGGATGAAGTGGGGAGGGGGAGGAAGAGTATGTGCCCTTTCGCTTTACTTTTTGATCCTTGAGTTTATTGAGCAGGGCTGTAGAAGGGTGTACGCACGTGTGGATATGTGGTTTTTAATTTACTGACGGGTTTAAACTTCAAATGATAGAGCGGCTGATTGAGCTGCTGCGCGACTTCCCGCCGGAGGAGCCTACGAGAAAGAGATATATGAATGAGCTGGTTGCGTGGAGCGCGCGGTTTGGAGAGTTGGAGAGAGGGGATCCAGAGATACATCATGAAATTGGGTCGTTGTTTGCGCAGGGTGAGTTCTATATTTAACTGGACCGACCTCCCCTCCCTTTGGTAGACATAGGATATGCCTGGGAAATAACCATTCGTTATTCTTTCCAAGCTATGAAAGTGGCTTTCTTTATATGGCTTATTCGAATTTGCTGACCCATTGCTATCCCCTCCAGAAAACGAGCCCTACGACGCTGAGCGACACCTAGCCATTGGCACTGCAGACTCCGCTGAGGTCCTCGCCCGCCTCGAGTATGACTGGTACACACACGACGAGCCCCACACCGCAGGCATCTACGCCTCCCGCGCTGTCTTCCCCTACCTCCTCACGGGTAACCTACGCGACGCCAACAAAGCCTTCCTAATCTTCACCAGCCGCCTCTCGTCCTCAGGAACCAGCCAAGCCCTAAACATCCAACAAGTCAGCAGCCAGAGCGCAGACGTGCGCGTCTACCCTTCCCTGCCCCTTTTGAATTTCACAAGTCTACTACTGCTAGCGATCCAGCGCGGCACGGCGGATTTATTCAGGCAGTTGACCAGGCAGTATGGGATGCATATACGGGAAGTGGACGGATGGGAGAGGGCGTTGGCATATATTGGCGAGTTATACTTTGGAATTAAGATTCCGAAGCAGTCTAATCCGCTTATGGATATGATGGGGATGATGTTTGGAGGTGGAGGCGCTGGTGGTAGAGCCGGCGCAAAACCTGCTCGACAGCAGAAGACCGCAGGGAGAGTGGAGGCGCCGCCGTCGATGGATCTTGATTAAGAGGGGGTTGTAGCACGTTTGCTCGTCGGGAAATTCATGGTATAAAGCTACCACAGGGAATAGCCCATGGCTCGCGTATAGTTCACAAATTTATGTAATGAATGACCTAGACACGAATTTCATCTTCGACCTCGTACATCCAAGCGTCCTCGTCCAGCGAGGCGGCCTTATTCCGTAGGCTCTGCTGTATAAGGAGGAAGATTTCTGTTATAAAGCGCGTTAGCAAAGGGGACCTTCCAGGAGGTATATCATGCTCCAGTCGTGGCCTATACTTATGTATAAAAGTCGGTAAGAAACGAAAGAAAAAGAAAGCTTACCTGGAGGCTCACTGTGCAGCTGTCTACTGCGATTCCGACACATCATCTCCACAATACTCGCCTCAATTTCTATTAAATACCGCATTGATACCATTAGCTAGAGAACTCACACCCGAAAAATATATCAGAAAAGGCAAAAAAAGAAATGTGGAAGAAAAACATACTCTCCTTCTCCCTACCCCCAATATCCCCCGTCCCGCCCACACCTCCCACACCTCCCACACCAATCCCATTACCGCCTCCTCCCCCACCCCCAATCTCCACATCCATCCCACCTCCCCCTTCCTCGCATTCATCCTCCCACATCCCTACCGGCAACACTGGCACATCAACCTTGTACCCGCCGTTCTTATCGCGGGCTACGATCTCGCCGTTATCTAACGAGGAGGACGAGGAGGAATGGGGTATTTGTTGTGCATGCGTATTCCCATATCCGTACCCATGTCCATGCCCATGTCCGTGTGGGACCGAGAGGGAAATCGTCGGGACCGGGTTGAGGGCGTTCGGAGCACCTGCGCCGGGTGCTGTGGGGGGGTTGGTACTGGTATTTGTACCGACATTGGCATTGGCACTGGAGGGATGTACAGTCGATGCGGAGCTATGTGTTGCGGTGGAAGCAGATGAGGCGGGGCGACGGCTTAGGTGGTGATGGTGGAAGAGGTTGCGCCGGACGGATGGCATTGTTGTGGGCGCGGCGTTGGTTCTGCTGCCGCTGCTGGTAGCAGTAATGGCGGTGTGAGTGTTGGAGCGTGTAGGGGCGGCGGGAACTCTTGCTGTAGTTGTGGCTGTAGCGGCGGAGGAGGTAGAGACTGAGCGGCGGGATGTTGTGGTTGCTGCGGCGGCGGGGGCGGTTGTGCTGGATGCAGATGCGGAGGGGATGCGAGATTGATGCGGATGGCGCGTGGGGTGGTGGCGGGAAGAGGACATTGTCATTTATTTATTTATTATTTTTTATATCCGCGGTGTTTAACGGCAGATTTGTATGCAGTGAATAGGTTATGTTTAAAGTGAGTGTTGTTCATTGTGGGATGCATTGTTAGTTCATAATTTGTGATACTATTTAGGGCGGAGCTATTTAGGTGGGTTATGTGCTGCGGGAGCCAAGCATGAGAGTAGCGGAATAGGTATTAGGTAGGAATGGATGCTTGTATACGACGGGGATAAGTATAATAAAGGATGGGAAAAGAGAATGAGAGTTGTGTGTATGTAAAATATATAAACTTGAGCTATAACTCTCGGAGAGGTTGAATGAAGCTAAAGTTGAGGCTCTGCTAGAATAATTTGCATCGGGGAGCCGCAACCACAGAAACTTTGGCTGGCTAACAACTGAGATTTTGGTACATGTACACATATATTCGTAAGATTTATATCTATAATTATTAAATAACTTGGTTTCAACGGGAATTTTGCTAAGATATTTCTTTTTTCTTTCTTTATATACATATATCTCCTGTCTGTTGTGGATTAAACTCCTGTGTCTGGCCATGTTTGCTAGAGGCATACTCCGTATACTTCCTAGGGTCGAGGAAACAAAAAATATCCATCTCGGTTCAAGAGCATGGCCCGAACGGAACTGTAGCTAATCTGATAAGCGCAACTGGAGTTTCTGCAAGGTTCTTCGTGTTGGACAACCGCTAGAATAGGACGCGACCGATGCCACGCCGTATAATCCGCTTCTCCGATAAATTGGGGTAATCGCTTGCCTGCAAGTGCGCGTCACGCAATGTCGATGACCGAGAGGCTGCCTGTCGCGGATGGCATTATGCGATCGATACTGAGAGGGTTGTAAACCTCAGATGCGTGTAGTAGTTGCCGTTGCTGCTGGGTAGTTCGTTGATCAAGACTTGGGGTTTTGCGAGTAGGTGTTGTTCATCAGATTAATGCTCAATGTGCGCAAGGCTGCTTTTTTAACCTTCCATTTGAAACCCCCCCATTTTCCTCTCTCTTGATCAATTTTATTCATCCCATACCCGTCTTACTGTAAGGGAAGACCTGTTGCGCCCCTGAGCCACGGAAAATGACATCTGGAATGTACGAAGCAACAATGGGAGCAATGTAAAAGGAGCAGTTCCTCATTTCGTCCCACATGTTCTGACTTCCCGGATGCTGTATGAACATCGTTCTTTCTTTTTTCCATTCCTTGACTGCCGGATATTTTTGGAGGCCATTCGGACAGTTGACATGCATCTTGTCGCGAATTCTCCAACAAGTCCACAAGCCAATGATGCTGTTGCAATGTGCAGTAGTCGCCAGTTGGTTCGGCTCCTGGAAATCCGTTCGCAGTTGGGCGAGATATTATTGCGGATATCATACAGTTCATGATGCCAGGAGTGGGGGGGGGGAGGGACAAAGAGCAAGGATGGGGGTGGGCGAGTTTAGCCTCAACATCCGAACCTCTGAATGGATTTTAGAGCGAGTACGAGGACGGATTAACTTCTCATACATAAACCAGAGTTAACTAAATTCCCCTGATCCATGATAAGGAATACATTAATCATCGTGATAACAATGGGTCTACCAAAAGATGCATTTTTGGTTCCCCGTTCAATACATTACATTGTCGTTGATTGTTTAATTCGGCATAACTGACCATGCCAGGGCAGCCCTTCCACATACCTAGCTATATCTCAACCCTGCTGCACCTGTGCAGCAGAAGATGTCAACCACTTACCAGATACTTAAACTGCACCAAAGAGCAGAGAGAGGCAAATTGTTTCCACATAAATCTGTGGAGTGAACCACTCCTTTGAAAATTGTCTCCACCAGGCCGCTTTCAGTTAACTATCCTATCATGCTGCTAGCCGCTTCACAAGGTAGCGGCCCCTGAATCTGGTTCTGACTGCGGGGAAATTGAGGCGAATCCGTTTTGCGAGAACTGGATGGTCCTTGGATCCTTGCTGCTTCGTCGTGCTGTGCTCAGCGTTTCCAAATATATACATACGGAGTAGTTATATAAAAAAGAAACGAAAATGAACGAGAAAAATACCGGACAATCACCGGCTCGGCAATGGGAAAAAGAATAACCGGGAGTGGTCCTTCGGTGCAACGGACGGGACCCCGACCAAAGGGCCCTGGGCCGCTTAGCGGGAAGTTAGTGCCCAGCTAGCGTATGAGGTGGGGGGGCTTTTAGGCAGTATTAGCCTTTGCTAGCCTGTCAGTTCCCACTAACCACTAACGGCTGGCTGGGTGAGGTATTGGTTAAAGAACTACCCCGAGGCTCTCAAACAGTCTAGGTTTGCTCTCTCGGGTTTTAGCGGTACATGTACTGTACATTACATACGAGAATTACGGTATCGGCCGACCATGAACCATACGGGAAATACGGGGCGTACGGGCTTAGAAACGTTACAGTACTCCGTACAAACTTTACGCATCGGCGGAATGCGCTCATATGCCGCCAAACAAACAGGGTCCATGACTGCGAACTGGACGGTGGTTAGAGAGATCTGGAGATGGAGAGATACATGATATAATAATAATGGATAGAAGCTAGGATCAGCTTACTGAGTCTAAGGAGGGGCCAGCTCTTAAACGTATCTTCTCCAGCTTTTTTCGATCTTCCTCCACTTTCTTCCTCCTCTTCCTTTCTTGCCCCCCTACTCGTCCAAGCCTTGCTACTCTCCCCATCTTTCATCAATGCACTTATGCAATCAAAGTGGGAGCTTGAGATCTCCCCTACTGAATGAGAATTAATAGCGTAGACTATATTTCCTTGTTATCTCCGACTTTTCTCTCCTCTAATTGCAATGCCTCAAGTGGACACCGTGCCGTCATCATGCTCAGTTCAGCCTGAGAAACCACCGCCAGAGAAAACTCATGTCTGCTCGTACCCTGGCTGTAGCAAGCGCTTTACACGCGCAGAGCATCTTCGCCGGCACGCACTGAACCACAAGAACGAAGACAACACCTGTGAGAGATGTGGTGTCCATTTCAACAGGCCTGATTTACTAGGTATTTCAGTCCGGCTTCTGCCTGCTATTCTACAATAATCTGTCCAATCACCCCCTTGTTTTGCTCAGATTTTTCTGGTTGGCTTTGCCGAACATTAACACTCCCGTCCAAATAGGAAGACACATGGTGCGCCATGCAAAGAGAGACGAGGAGGCGGGTGGTCCTGGCCTGGGTGTGCTTGAAACCCGCAAAAGAACCCGCCGCGGGCCTGACGGGACTATCATCACAAAGCCGACCAAAAAGCAAGCTCGTGCAGCTATGCTAGCCCGGTCTATGGCCGCTGCAACCTCGTCAGTTCCACTCGATGAGGTTGCAAATTCGTCTTCGCCCTCGTCGTCCTCGTCGTCGTCTTCTATCCGGAGCTTTAATGACAATAGTGTCAGCTCCCACGGGAGCAGCCACAATCAAGATAGCAGTTCAGCTCTGACCACGCCGCCATCTATGGTGGATCTAAGCTATCACGGTCAGGATCATGGTGCTGGCTCTGGAGCTCCTATCTCCCCACCCACATCTGCGCATCCTTCGTGTCCGAGTGTCAATTTGGACAGTGGCCCACTGGATAATTGCGATCCGGTTGATCATTCTGATCCGCTGATAGCGCCTATGGTGCCTGGGAGTCCCTACATCCCTACGAGCCGTACGTGGAGCCTATTCCCGGCCAGTTTGATGCTGCAGATGGCTCGTGGCGGAATCAGGATTCGGGACTTGGTCTAGACTACGAGGATTTCTTTGACTTCGATACTGGTATGTATCTGTCTCTCGTTCGAAAAGGGTGGTGATGTATTGTTACCTAGGTTCGAAATAGGATGTCCCCTCCAGGGCAAAAATGGAGAGATGCAATTCCCGTGATTGTCAAATTCTAATACAGCGTCTTTTTGAGTCTGTAGCCACCTCCTTTAACATGCCCTTTGCTGCTACCCATAATTACAATTGGCTCTTCGACGTGCCATCCCTGGATGACGCCTTTAACCATAATGGTATGTCGCTGGCTATGGATATGGTCAACTTCGCTGAACCGGTGCCCGATATGTGGTCACAGCCTCAACACCGTCATAACGAATTCCTCGGCCAAACCTTCTCTTCATCAGAACCAGCAAGAGAGCGAGACTATCAAGAACATGCGCCACATGATGAATCCAACAGAATTTCCCCGGATTCGCATATCCAGCCTCCCGGAGATACTTCTACTGGTGAAGAATTACCCGTTAATCCTAGCGAACCCTCCCCACAACCCGCCCAGAGCTCCATGTCGACTCCTGATACTTCCAACCAAATCCCACTGTCTGCTTTCACCGATATGGATTGGATGGGCCAAAGTCCTCCTACAGAAGTTGTACCTAAAAAGCTACCCCAAATACCCGAAGCTGCCAGAACGAGATTATTACGGCTTATATCACAATTACAATCCATAACTGTAGAAGGAAACCGAATTGAGCTCTCATCCCCTCTTCTCTCCATCAACGCACTGCAAACGTACTGTGACCTCTTCTTCACGAAACTCAATGTTTCCTATCCACTAATCCATCAACCCACGTGTGATCCAGGCCGAGTTGACACATTGCTGCTTGCTGCCATCATATCAATGGGAGCCACCTACAGCAATAGAGAAGCACACCAACTGGCCGTCGCAATGCATGACTCGTTACGGAATCAACTTTTTTCCCATCAATCGTTCTCATCGCAGCCTGATCTCTGGGTCCTCCAGGCCATGATGTTGATCGATTGCTTTGGGAAACAGCGAGCCGGCCAGAAACAGCGTGATATGTCCCAGTTATTCCACTGTGTCCTTATCAAACTCATTAAACGGAGCAATTGCCCTATCATTCGGACATCTCCACCTGTTGAGCGGCCGGACAACCTCGACGTAGCGTGGAGGCAGGCAATGGACCTGGAGCAGAGGAAACGGCTCGCCATGCTTTGCTTCATGTGGGATACTCAGCATGCGGTGCTCTTTTCACAATCCCTTTGCATGTCGGCGTTTGAAATCCGAGCCTCCTTACCTTGCGACGAGGCTACATGGGAGGCAAATACTGCAGATGCATGGTTCGAGCACGCACGCGCAGAGACATCACACAGTGCGTTTCTTCCTGTCCTGAAAGCATACATAATCCCCAACACCACCCGCCGCCCACGACACCTGAACGCCCTATCCAGGATTTTCCTCCTGCACGGCCTCATGTCCATATCCTCCGACCTCAAACGGCGCGACCAAACCACTCTTCGCTCAGAAACACCTAACCTAGTGGGCGCCTGGAAAGCCCGCATCAGTCGCTCCTACGACCTGTGGAAAAACGATTTCGACGCAGGCTGCATGAACATGAAACTAAACCAGACCTCCAACCCGCGCAAATTCGTCGGTCTCAAAACAGCAACTCACGTCATGTACCACGCCGCGCACATCACGCTGAATGTCGAAGTGCTCGATCTGCAGATATATGCGGGCGCACCACATATTCTGGGCCGGGTGGTGACGGCGGGCGACTTCGAGCGCTCGCAGCGGGTCGTCACGCGCTGGTTAAACGAGGACCCGCGCTCCGCTGCAAAGGCGACGAAGCATGCTTCATACATTCTTCAGGATGCGATTATGAACCTGAACGACTGGGACGAGACGGATGTCTTCCATTACCCCTGGTGCTTGTACCTGGCGACACTGACGTGCTGGGCTTTTCATCTCCCCACCTCCTCCTCCTCCACCTCCACAGCGTTGGACAGAAATCCCAATAATAAAAATAACAATAATAACAGTGAGCAAGAGTACCAACAACAATCTCCAAACCCTGCTCCGCGCAGCTCGAACGCTAACTCCCTAACCCCGCGAAACCAATTGACCACACTCGTCGTCGCTATGACGACGTGTAACACGCTCGAGGAACTCTCTGCGCTGGCGGGAAAGTTTGACACGGTGGGTTTGACATCCATCATGAGCCAGCAGCTAGCTAGTGTGCGGTGGGCTGTGGTGCATGATGCGATGAAGGTTTTGGTGAGTTTATCGAGTAGGTAGGGATGGGAGGGTTGGTGGATACGAGAAGAAGGGGGCATTTCTTTTTTGGTTCCTCCTTCCGTCGCCCCGATATTGGTATTGCATGAGAACGCAGGATCAGCGAGAGATTGCTGATTTTTCTTCTTCTACTGCCTTTTTCCCTTTGACTTCGATTCGAAATATTCCCAGGGTTTTGGGCTTTTGCGGCAAGGGCGGTGGTATATTTCTTAAGTTTTTGCACATCTTCTATTATATATGGGACGTACTGGCTTCTGGGCGGAATAAATTTGCAGCCGACCCAGTCGTGGAAGTTTTACGAATGGCGTTTTTCGATGTGTGGGAGGTATGGCTTTTGTTGATTTCGGGATGGTTTAGCTTGATGAATGGATCGCTATCCATACATTTTATATAATTTTATTTTTCCCGGTTAACTATTGTTTTCGGCTATGTTACAAAATATGACTGGTTTATATGATGGTATACTCTGCGTTTATGTTGTTCTTAGGCCACTTCTTGTACGTACTGTGTTATGTTTTGTCAATGAGATCCCCGTAAAGGCGGTAAATGTTATAAATGTTATAAATGTTATTGAAACCGGTTCCCATTATGCACAGAGGGTTCTGGCTCTGGGGACGTCAAGAGGTAGAGAAAGAGGTGGGTTGTTTGTTGCTTTGTGTTGGGAAGCCTGCCATGGTCCGCCGTGACGTCGTGTTATTACGATAAACTGTCCGTTTATTGTGAGTTGTAACTATCATAGCTTTGAAATTCTAATACATAACGAGCATGTGACAGTTAGATCAAGCACAATTGCAAAATTAATATATTTATGGAAATCTATTCGTTTCATGTAGATCTAAGGATGTATACATCGACAAACTAACGCCTAACTAATTGGTTCCACTAACTCAGCCACTCCCCTCCAACCCCTCCCGCTTATAGAGAGATGGATAATCTGTATACCCCTTCGAGGGCGGCGTGGCCCCATAGAACGTCGTCCGATCATACTTATTAAGCGCCAACCCCTCCCGCAACCTCCTCACGAAGTCCGGATTGGCCAAAAACCACCGCCCAAACACAATCGCATCCGCCCCATCCGCCTTGATCTTCGCCACGCAATTCTCCCGCTTAAAGTTACCCGCAGCCAGCAGCGCAACACCACCCTTCTTCAACGGCTTGCGGAAATGGTCGAGCGAGTAATCCTTCGACGGCACCTTCTCCTTTGGCTCCCCGTTGGTCGTCGCGGCTAACGCAGCCAGCTTCGCCTCCTCATCTAGCACCTCGTCGAACCGCGGCTCGACCATGTGCACATAGGCAGGGCGGTTTTCCTGCGGCAGCGCGGCGATCTGCTCACACAGATACACCCAGTGCGGGTTGGGGTCCGAGTCGCGGGTGTCCTGGAAGTAGTTGTAAGGGGAGAGGCAGATGCCGACGTGTTCGGCGCCGATGGCGGCTGTCACGGACCGGATGACTTCGAGCGGGAAGCGGGAGCGGTTGGCGATCCTGCCGCCGTAGGCATCCGTGCGGATGTTGACGTTGTCGTGCAGGAATTGATCGAGGAGGTAGCCATTTGCTCCTGCAGAGTTAGGGTTAGAAGGGTGTACTATTACATATGTCTCCAGGGAAAAAAAAAGAGCGGCACTGAAAAACTAACCATGAATCTCTACGCCATCGAATCCAGCTTCCAGCGCCCTCTTGGCCGCTGCAGCGTACTCTACCAGAAGCTCCTGAATCTCTTCAACTGTTAGGGGGGTGGGGGCCGAGTCGGCATATTTCGAGCCGTCCAGCGCATCGCCCGAGATGGGGATGTTGGAGGCACTGACGGGGGATTTGCCGTCGAGGAATGAGGGGACGGTGGCCCGCCCTACGTGCCAGAGTTGGCAGTAAATGAAGGCGCCTTTGGCGTGGACGGCGTCCGTGACTCTTTTCCAGCCGGCGATTTGCGATGGGGTGAAAATGCCAGGTACACCAGGGTAGCCGGCGGCCTGTTTGTTGGAGACTGGTTAGCAATCGGTATAGGGACGAGTATAGTGGGGAAGGTGAGTTATTGATTGAAGCTCGTTTGTTGATTTTCTTTTTCTTTTTTTCTCTTTCTTTCTTTTGTCATCTCTAGGTTAAAGCTTACATATCGGCTGATTGGAGTAGCTTCCGTTAATAGGAAGCCACCTTTTGTGGCTCTCTCTGAGTAATATTGTACATTCAGATCATTAGGAACGTAGACACCCTCAGACTCTTTGGAAGCTCGCATGCGGGTGAGCGGCGCAAGGACAACTCGATGCTCCAACTGAAGGGCGCCGAGCTGAAGGGGTGTGAACAGAGCAGAGTCTGCGAGGGGTAAGAAGGAGGCCATTGTTCAAGCGGAGTATGTAGGTATGGGAGCTAGATGGAAACTGAAAAGACAAGGATAACTTCTTTTGATTTTTTTTCTATTTCTTCTTCCAGAGACGTTTAACAATAGAAGAGGAAGGAAAGAAAGGAAGTAGGAGTTTGACGTTGGAGCGGAAAATGGAAGTGTACGAGCACTCTCAATTAGAACACCCAAGTTTTAATACTCGGGACTTTTGACAATCTTCTTGCTTTTTCCACTTCTTTTCCTCATTCTGTCCTGAGAAAACCCATTCCCACGCCATTCCTGGTGCTTTGGATCCTCAAGCATCGAGCGCTCTTCCAAGCCGCCGCATGCGTAAGGTGGGAGGACCATTGCGCCCCTCTCTAGCTCCGTCCATTGCCTGGTGGATTCGCCAACATGATTCCCCACAACTCTCCAAGAGCGGGCTTTCAACAGGGTAAAAGGATGGCGGCGACCATGGCCACGGCTCCATTTTTATACGGATTAGAGCAACTCAGCGCGGGAGTAGCGTAGTTAAATGCCCCACGCGCAGGAGCAAGCTCGGTAGTGGCGGCTTGGAGCTGGAAGAAGCCGTTTTTAAGCAAGCGATTTGAGAAGTAATATATTCAGCGGAGCAGTTCAGAGAGGCAGCAGTCATAAGCTCTCTCTCTCTCTCTATTGATGATATTATATTTCACATGCGGCAGATTTATTCCCAGGAGAGCTGTTGAGATCTATAGAGAGAGAGAAAAACGTCTGACTAGAGTTTGTCGTTCCTGATCCGAGGCTGGATGAGGCTGCCCTAAGCCCTAGCCCCAAACCCTAAATTGCTGAGTTGGGGGTGAACCCCCACTTTTGGACAGAGTTATATACCGATATTGTGTTACCGTACCGTACGCCCGAGACAAAGACCATTGTTTCATACAATACGTAAGAAACACGCGTATTATTTATTACCCTAGAGCGTCAAGAAGTTTGGGAGGAGGGGCAAGGCGGGGAAACCAAAAATACCAAAAATATCAAACTGGTAAGGTTATATACATCCATGCAGCGCATACTCTACATACATATGTATGTACATATACATGTACATCTAGGTCGTGTCATGACAAATTGATCCATCCTGACTCGTTGCATCTGGCTCTGGACTGTCATCTTGTCTGTCTCAAGCCAGAACTCCATACTTCCTGTGTAAGTGTCCTGCGCCCTATCACAGCGCGGCGAACGGAGGAGCGGACTATAACATTTTTGAATCTCTGGCGGCAACTCTCACGTTCCTTGGCTGTCATTCCAAAAGGGCCTGTTTTTTTATATATCATGCAACGAAACACTTTAAACGCCCCATATTCCCCCGTCCTGTAGCTCTGCTCGTATCTCCTATTATCATACTATAACTTCTTCCATTCATCATGGGTCTCCCCGTACCAAACTCGGAGGCGGCTTCCATCCCCTCCGACGACGCACTGCAGGCACTTGTCAAATCCACATATACTACCTCAGTCCTGCAGTTCTATCTCAACGGGGCCAAGGTTGAGTTGAGAAACCCTAACCCGCACTGGACTCTGTTGGACTTTATCAGATCACGGCGTGGTTTGAAAGGAACAAAGTTGGGATGTGGAGAGGGTGGCTGTGGCGCTTGCACGGTGGTGCTACAAGTAAGAGACGCCAAAAACCTAAGAAGAATCAAGCACCTGTCTGTAAATGCTTGTCTGTTCCCGCTAGTGGGAGGTGAGTTCGCGCTTTTCTTACTTATAAATTCTAATTTCACTCTGGTATATCAAGGGACTGTTGTCTTTTTGTGTTTAACCAGGTTGTTACTCTAGTTGTCGGGAAACATGTCATTACCGTGGAAGGGCTTGGGAGTGTTGATAAGCCTCACCCGTTGCAGGAACGGATGGGTAAGCTTCATGGGTCACAGTATGTCATATCTTACCTTTCGGAAAGGGGTCGTGTATGTTTTATGCTAAATATGCATTCAATGCAGATGTGGATTTTGTACACCCGGCATAGTTATGTCCCTGTACTCCATTATTAGAAATGCTTATGACCCGGAAACCGGCAAATTTTCTCTATCAGAAAACGATATTGAAATGAAAGGCCATCTGGATGGAAACCTATGTCGGTGTACGGGTTACAAGCCCATTCTACAAGCCGCTAGGACTTTCATTGTTGAGGACCTTAAGGGGCAGCTGGTCGAAGGCAAGAACTCTCTTCCAGTCGATGCTGAGAAGGATACCGAACATGAGGCAGCGACGTATCTACAAGGCCAGTTTGATAAAGCTTCGAAATCCTCAAGTGGCTCATGCGGAAGACCTGGGGGATGTTGCCGCGATAAGCCAAGTAAGGAACCCCCTGCATCGGATCCCTCCACATCGCTTGGCTCCACTTCTGTAGACGACAATAGCTCTGAGACTAGTCTTTCCGAAGAAATCACACTTCCGGCGTGTAAAAAAGAACCCCAGATTGAGCTTGCCGAGTATACTCCCTCAGCAGAGTTGATCTACCCACCTGCACTATCGAAGTTTGTCGACCAGCCCCTATGTTATGGCGACGAGAAGAAAATATGGCTCCGCCCAACGAATTTACAGCAATTAGTTGACATCATGGCTACATTCCCATCTGCAACCATTGTCAGCGGTGCGAGCGAAATCCAAGTTGAGATCCGCTTTAAAGGCTCAGAGTTTGCTGTTTCTGTCTTTGTTTCGGACATCGAGGAGATGAACACAATATCGATTCCCGCTGATTTATCAAAGGCGAAGGAACTTGTTATTGGTGGGAATGCGCCATTGACCGATATTGAAAATCTTTGCTATGATCTATCCTCAAAACTGGGCCGAAGAGGGTCTGTCTTCAGTGCTATGGCGAAGGTCCTCAGATACTTTGCTGGGCGCCAGATTCGAAATGTGGCATCACTAGCTGGAAATATTGCTACGGCTTCCCCTATATCAGATATGAACCCAGTACTTTTGGCTATAAATGCAACTGTAGTGGCCAAGACAGCGGAGAAGGAGCATTCGATTCCAATGGTAACCATGTTCCGTGGATATCGGAAAACTGCACTACCCCAAGGGGGAATCATCACTCAAATTCGCGTCCCTATTCCCCCTGCAGATGTTCGCGAAGTGACCAAATCATACAAACAAGCCAAGCGAAAGGATGACGACATTGCCATTGTCACGGCAGGTTTCAGGGTTCGATTTGATGAAGGAGATACCGTTAAAGATGTCTCATTGGCGTATGGCGGGATGGCGCCAATGACTGTTCTGGCTCCTAAAACAATCAGATACTTGATAGGGAAAAAGTGGTCCGTAGCGGAAACCCTCGATGGAGCACTTCAAACGTTGCTCGAGGATTTCCCGCTTCCCTATGACGTCCCGGGAGGTATGGCGGCTTATCGTAGGACGCTAGCTTTGTCGCTTTTCTTCCGATTCTGGCACGAGGTGAATGCCGATTTTGAGCTCGCAGAAGTGGACCAGGCACTTGTTGAGGAAATACACCGAAATATCTCCATCGGGACCAGGGATAATTATAACCCCCATGAACAACGCGTTGTTGGCAAGCAGATCCCCCATCTTTCTGGCTTGAAGCACGCTACTGGCGAGGCAGAATATGTTGATGACATGCCGTATCAAGAAAATGAGCTTTACGGTGCACTTGTTCTTTCAGAAAGGGCCCACGCAAAGATCATATCAGTGGACTGGACTACAGCTCTTGCTCCGGGCTTAGCAGTTGGGTACGTAGACAAACATAGCGTTGATCCCGAAATGAACTTTTGGGGATCTATTGTCAAGGACGAACCTTTTTTCGCGCTCGACGAGGTGCACTCACATGGTCAGCCAATTGGAATGGTATATGCCGAGACAGCCCTTAAAGCACAAGCTGCAGCACGAGCTGTTAAGGTGGTTTATGAGGATTTACCGGCTATCTTGACCATTGATGAAGCCATCGAAGCGAAGAGCTTCTTCAAGCATGGAAAGGAACTTCGGAAAGGTGCACCACCCGAGAAAATGGCGGAGGTATTCGCCAAGTGCGACAGAATTTTCGAGGGAACGATTAGATGTGGAGGGCAAGAGCACTTTTACTTAGAGACAAATGCTGCCTTGGTTGTCCCTCATGCTGAGGATGGTACAATGGATGTTTGGTCCTCAACTCAAAATACGTAAGTATTTTTTTTTTTTTCTTTGTATTTAATTCATAACAGTTCAGGTACTAACAAAGCCGCAGAATGGAGACTCAGGAATTTGTCAGCCGCGTGACTGGAGTTCCAAGCAACCGTATCAATGCGAGAGTCAAACGGATGGGAGGTGCTTTCGGTGGCAAGGAGTCTCGAAGCGTTCAGCTAGCTGCTATACTTGCGATAGCTGCGAAAAAAGAACGACGCCCAATGAGAGCTATGTTGAACCGCGACGAAGACATGATGACAAGCGGACAACGAAATCCCATTATGTGCCGCTACAAAATTGGTGTAATGAACGATGGAAAGCTTGTCGCCATTGATGCGGACTGCTACGGCAATGCCGGGTGGTCCCTGGATATGAGCGGAGCTGTCATGGACCGCTGCTGCACACATCTTGACAATTGTTATTATTTCCCCAATGCACATATCCGTGGATGGGTATGCAAAACTAACACAGTTACAAACACTGCTTTTAGAGGCTTTGGCGGACCACAGGCCATGTTTATCACTGAAAGTTTCATGTATACGATTGCCGAGGGGCTGAACATGCCAGTAGACGAGCTCCGTTGGAAGAACCTGTACGAACAAGGTCAACGGACCCCATTCCACCAAGTGATTGATGAAGATTGGCATGTTCCGATGTTGCTCGAGCAAGTCCGAGAGGAAGCCAAGTATGACGAGCGCAAGGCGCAAATCGCCAAGTTCAATGCCCGAAACAAGTGGAAGAAGCGCGGTATTTGCCTGGTACCAACAAAATTCGGCCTCTCATTCGCAACAGCAATCCATCTCAACCAGGCGGGTGCATCTGTGAAAATGTACGCTGATGGCTCGATCCTCCTCAGCCATGGTGGAACGGAAATGGGTCAGGGCCTGTATACGAAGATGTGCCAGGTTGCAGCTCAAGAGTTGAACGCTCCCATAGACTCCATTTATACGCAGGACACTGCAACATATCAGATTGCCAACGCCTCGCCCACGGCTGCGTCTTCTGGTAGTGACCTTAATGGCATGGCAGTCAAGAATGCGTGTGACCAGCTCAACGAACGTCTCAAACCGTACTGGGAGAAATTTGGTAGGGATGCGCCGCTCTCGCAAATTGCGCATGCTGCATATAGAGACCGCGTGAATTTGGTTGCGACAGGGTTTTGGAAGATGCCCAAGATCGGCCATAAATGGGGCAATTATAATCCGGACACCGTCAAACCAATGTACTACTATTTCACTCAGGTATGGCTCACTTAATTTACCCCCTACTCCCTATTTGTCAGAAATGGTGGATTGCTGAACTATGATATGTTTCTAGGGCGTTGCTTGCACCGAAGTTGAACTGGACGTCCTTACGGGGGACCACACCGTCCTCCGCACCGACATAAAAATGGACGTGGGCCGTTCAATCAATCCAGCCATCGACTACGGTCAAGTTGAGGGAGCCTTTGTTCAGGGACAAGGACTCTACAGCATCGAAGAGTCCCTCTGGCACAGCAAATCCGGCCACCTTGCGACACGTGGCCCCGGCACATACAAGATTCCTGGGTTCAGCGACATCCCGCAAGAGTTCAATGTTAGCTTCCTGCAAGGGGTGTCGTGGAAGCACCTCCGGTCTATCCAGAGCAGTAAGGGCGTCGGTGAACCACCGCTGTTCTTGGGCGCCACGGTTCTGTTCGCTCTGAGAGATGCGCTGCTCAGTGCTCGAAAGGATCATGGAGTCAAAGAGAAGTTGGTTCTGGATAGTCCGGCCACGGCGGAGAAGCTGAGGTTGGCAGTTGGGGACAAGTTGGTGAGGATGAGTAATGTTGTTAAGGGTGAGGGGCAGAAACCGTTTTTCGTTGCTATTTCTTAGGGTATATGACGATATTTAACCGTGATCTATCTGAAAGAATTTTTGCATTTTGTTTTATTATTTTGGTTGCGCGGAACGGTATTTTCAGAGAAGGGTTGAGCAGGATATAAAGGATATAACCAAATTGAGATCCCTTTGCATTTGCTATAGTTGAATGCTCTATAGGCTTTAAAAAATAATGAAAATAACCTCTGGCCTGGTCGTCAGCACCACCGTGGTTCATCTTAGGATGGTGCCACTTTCCAAGCCCACAACTGAACGATGAAACTGGTAGGAAAGGCTGAGCCTTCGCAGCCTCGGGTGCTGGAGACATTTAAAATATGAGAAGGAAAATCATTCAAAAATGCATATTCGGCTTCCTGTTTCGTAAAATGGTTCAAGAGAGCCAAATCAAAACGTCCGTCCCCAACCCAACTGGAGGAGGACGCGCCGCTCGTATCGCACATGTTAAGCAAGGTCCTCCGCTCCGTCGGATTACTGCATTTTTCCCACGCTCCGAGCACCAAGCTCTTGCGAGAACCTCAGCTTCCCCGCTACTACCAACATTACCAACATTAATGATCGTGACATCGTCGTTTATATTGGAGCGGTCACCAAGAGAACTACCAGTCCGGAAGCCTGGGATTAGCGAACGCCTCGATGACCCGCCTATTAGAGCCCAAATGTCCATCTCCTTCTCCTTTAGTAGCTCCCTCTTATGGAGTTCATGCGATTCCCTTTTTCCAAGATGACATGGCGGCAAGGTTACGAAAATCGAGTTGTAATTCAGGTCATATTTAACTGTCTTTTGGCGCGAGCCATTTTTGACCTCTATCACAATGCTCGCTCGATATCGAGTCTGGCTTTCAAGCTGGGCCTCATTCAACCCTTCCGACCAAGTGTCGGAGGGTAAGGCTTTGAGTTGGATAGCGCTTATAGAACAGGTAACGGCTGTTGCTCGAGCGAGAGGTTGTGGGATCACCCATTTCTTAGGATCTACTATGTTCTCTAGGAAGTCGATACTTTCTAAGCTTTCCCCGCTTCGCAAACAGGCCTCCAAGAATAGTTGATGGGCAGCCTCGGGATCGAAGTGAGGGATAGTGGAAAGATCCTTTACAATAGCAGCGTCATCTGCTTGGAGATGGACATAATGTGGCTTCTTGTTGAAATCCTTTGTTGCGTGCGAGGGTGGGTCGGTAAATTCCACCGGTGGACATGGTCCGATCCATCCGCACAGTGACTTAACTCCTGGAAGGCAGCCGAGAACGCTACCTAATACAGTTCGGACTCTCCAATACGTTTGGCTTGGTAGTGAAAGGCCGCATTCGTAGTACGGCGCGGGTTCGGCGAGTGGAACCGACGGCGAGGACCAGATAAGACAGGACATGATTGTGAGCGCAGTCCATTTTCCTGGTAGAACACAGCCGTAAAACCAGTCAAATAGGAGGAGGGGACTCGAGCCAGATTTGCGGAAGTTCTCCACTGCTTTGGGGATGTAATCCTCAACTTCATTGATATACGGCCACTTCATCTGTGAAGCAAACGAAAGAAGTCCCTGGGTTTGCCGTTCAATGGCAGAGCTGGTAAAAGTGCCAAGTTTCCCAGACATGTCCCAGTCCTCGTCCAGGAATGCCTTCTGAAGAGCGTGCCTCCTGCTGAGCACGGGCTCTGCCTGGATTCTCTGCATATCTGCTCTGATTTTCGTCTCAGCATTGTCAAGTCCTTCTACCATCGACACAGTGGCTTCGTTACCCGAAAGCTCGATTGCTATACGGTAGGAATCGTATGCTTTCTTTGCCTTATCCAGCTTCAACTCTGAATCCGCTCGACGAACCCATGCTTTGATGTACTGGGGGTCAAGTTGGGTCGCAGAGGTTGCGTCCTCAGCTGCTTGATCGTACTTCTTCATATGGTAATATGCTGCTGCCCTGTTCATGTGGAAAACAGCGTTTGAGGGATTAATATTGATGGCCTGTGTATAAAAATCAACCGCCGCTTGATGTTCGCCCTTTGCAAATGCTGCATTACCCTGGGTTTTCAAGTCCTCTGCTGCTCGTATTTCGTCCGGATTATCCACTTTCTTGAGTTGAATGGGTTTGTCCTGTAGGGAGATTTTTGCGTTTTGAAAATACAAGTCTTGAACAATAAGGGACGCTACAATCTTGGGCGACATGTCCGGCAGCGGTGCATTTGGATGGAACTCGAGACGGAGTGCCAGCTCCCTTGACAGAATAATTTGCCGAAGGAAAGGGTGCAATGACCCTCCGACCCATGCCGTTGCGAGACCCGAACTCGATGTAAAATTACGGAAATTATTATCCATGTCGAGTAGTGAGCATAATTGTTGGATCTCAGACCCTGCGTCTGGGACTCGTTGGAATGGAGTTAAGCTAAGTTCGCGTGATGTCACCGTTAGACGTGGTAGAACGGTAGGCATAACGCAACAGTATGTTTGTGCATATTAGTCTTACCAGCTGTCGCCAAAAATTTCGCGAATGTCAAGTGCGTCCTCCTGTATGTTCAAACCGAAGGGCCTATCAACGCACTGAAGTTCCTCAAATCGTCGAAGTAGCTTGGTCAGTGAGACCGCAGGCATTTTTTGTAAGAATGCGGTTTTGTGAGAGTATTGTGGGCCTGAGTGTTCTTTCGCATATCTCCACGCCTCCAGCCCAAAGCCCTCAACAGTTAATGTTCCAGGGTAGACGTGTTGATATCTCGGCTCACTTTCCATATCGAAGAATACTACTTCCTCGCTTGTATTACGATAGAATGGGCGGAATGGAGGTCTTCTCATGTACTGTGCTCGATGATAAAGTGCTGGGTAGCAAAGCCATCAGCTTCATCCATATGAGCAACCACTTTTCAAGGGGGACTAACTGAGTGAAGAGTGAGTCGGTTCCATGAAACCCTTTTCTTCTTTTATAGCACGCACGTAGCTCTCACGAGGTTGGCAGAATTCTTCCCAATAGGCAGCCGCACTGACGTGCAAAGATGGAAATGAATTCTGATTCATGGCTATAACTACCCTACCTTCCCCCTTTTCTCCTACACGACACACCGCCGCGGAAAATTTGATTGCCGCCTGGCGTTGTGCTGTAGCAGCACTCCATTCTGCCTTCGACATAGGAGGGTCTTGACTTAACGGCATGAAGATATGTTTGATACCAGCGATGGCAGGGATGTGGTAGTCGCCAGAAGTGGAAATAATACTTTTGTGAAGCGACTCCACTTCGGCAACGGCATCCTGATAGGCTTCTGCTGGGGAGGAAGCTTGTTGTAGGAGCTGTTCGAGTACACTGCTGCCGGCAGCATCACCCTCGTAGGGTATCGCATTGCGCACAGTTTCTTGAACGTCTCTTTTCAAGTCGGGAAAGGAGGCAAGTAAGGATTCAATAGCATTCCCAAAAGCAGACACGAACAAACCAAATTCTGACTTGTCGTGAATAGACCACATTATCCTACTGTTGAGTTCCACGCTAGACCAATTACCCATACATCTGTGTAGGGCTCTGTAACACTGCTTAAGTGCTGATGACATATCCGCCAATGCTGTCCCCGCAGCAGACCCACTACCATTTCCACCGTCCGTAGGGACAGAGCTAGTGACGCGAATAGTCATCCCATGGAATTCCCTTGTCGATTTGAAGAGGTTAAATATCTTCTCAACGGCAAGCATATGGCGAAGTACTCTTTCACCAATGGGTTCCTGGTTTAGCCGTGTTGTATAGTTTTGCAGCGCCCCGACATTCTCACCCGAATTTAATCCAATGACCTTGCCCCAAGCAAAGAGCCTAACTTTTGCTATTTCCAAATTCGAGACTAGGAGAAGCTGGACAATATCTTCTTCATTCGGCTTCAAATCAAAGCTGCCGGATAGCCTGATGAAGGAGTTCCACGCGGCAGAAATCGAAATGATGGGCTCGCGGCCATCCGGTTGATTTGGCGTCGTCATTGGTATCTTGCCTCACGCCAAACTATGGTGTTAAGGAAACAATGTGAGCGAAAAAGTGGCAAGACAATCCCGGGGGGGGGGAGGAGGGGGGGTAGTGGGTGGTGCACCATCTTTATATGTTATCTTGCTAGCTAACACACGTAGGGACACTTTCTTGGTTAGTTCGTAGCAAGGAAGGTTGCTGCGAAACTATTCTACCCGGTTTCACTGCCACTGCTACGCCCTCTAGGGGCTTGGCTTTCGGTGTGGAGAGTGATCTTGATATCCACTCGATTGAAGTCCAATGAAAGTCGTCTTGTGAACATTGTCGTGCAGGATAAGTATCCACTATGAATGAGACACCGTCAACTCATGAGCGGTGCGCACTCGGTGCGGCCGTGTGTACTCGTTCTTTTTGTACAGATCTCCACTTCTTTAAAAAAGTACAGCCCCAATATAACAACTGTTTGGTGGGCAGAGCAGCTGTACTAATATTACAGCTGCTTTGTGCAAAGTATGGATGAAAAAGGCCAGATGTTCAGTGGATTGAGCAGCTGTACTTGCATCTTTTGTCAAGATCTTATGAATAAGCAGTATTTAACTTCAACAGTGTGTGACAGTGTAGAATAGCACTTTTAGAGACAATATAGTGTAGAATAGTGTTCATAGTGGAGGCAGTTAACTAATATTGGTTAGAAAGAAGCTTGCAAAAACACATTCTTTTTGAACTGACTCTGGACTCCATTCAAAAAGAACACATTTTTGTGAGCTTCTTTCTCCATCATACAGAAGAGTATTGTCAGCGAAGATCATCAGCATGGAAAATAGTCAACAGCAGAATGACAAGGTGGAATTGTAGAGGTTTGAGTATTGTCATCCTCCACATCCAGATATTGCATTGATGAGACATCATATCAACCATAGATTTGGGAGAATATGATTTCAACGCGTCCGCGTTGAATGTGAAATTAAAAAGCCAGCATGGAGTGATCTCAATTAGTTATGGAATACGGAGTAGTGTGGTGGTGGGTGCTACTAATAATTGGTAGTTAAATACGCTATTTTTAATGAGATCCACTATTGCGTTCAAAAAGTACGGACGCACCGAACAGGCCCTAATTCTTTCAGAAACGACATGGACTTGTCCAAATGCCATTTAGTTCATCAATTCAGCCCGTCAATTTCAAGGTTGAATAGAAAGTCTTGAAATGTACTGGCAAGCCCCAAGCATTCGGGTTTGCTGTTCATGGATGCAGCCAGAGTCGATGATTCCTCCTCGACACGGCCAGTCGATGTCCAACTTGGTATGACAGTTTCAAGTTCAGATATCTCATATCCAACATGATTGAAATTTTGGTTCTATGATAGAAAGCGGGACTCTTCAAACCAAAATCATTGGGTACAATGCGCTTAAGCCGTGACGTCAAGTAAGCGACTCATGAGGGACTCAGGCTCTTGTCAAGAATTTTCAATAACAATGCCAAAAAAAGAGAAGCATGCGCCCTCCTCGAGCTTAAATCACGTGGGAATGTTCACTTTTGCGAAGAGTGGATCCTGCCCCTCACAAACCCTCGGTGTCGATTTCAGCAATAGGGAATAGATGCATAAAAGTATTTTGATAAAGGAGCCCAATTCAGTGACACGCCCGTACTAGAGGAAATAGCGTGATGTCTTCAGTTGCTGTCGCCTCGACATCATCGATATCATTAGTAGAGTCCAGCGCGGAAGACCACAAACTCAGCGACATAAATAGTAAGTATATCCTCTCGTATGGCCTGTTGTTGAAGCACAACCCCCTCTCATCTAGGAAGTAATCAACAGGTCATAATTCGACAACCCACGGCCTTTGCTTCGTATGCCGTCACTTAGATTTTGAACATGTCGGCTTCCACCGTTCGTCGGAGTATTCAAGCAACACCTATTCCTTTCGGAGGGAATTCCCCGCATTACTGAATAGCTCCAGCAAATGTGCTTTCTGCAAGAAGCTTGTCGACGTCATCAATGGGTGGATTGCGCAGAATAAAGGCGGCCAGGAACCCTCTTTTGATGTTTCGAGGTGCCACATAGAGGTGAGCCTCGAGACGGATTGGCATGAGGTGTTTCAGAGGAGGGATGAAGACATTTGTCCCGCAGCCGATATGAAGGCCTATTCTGATCGGATTAGGGTTCACTGCTCTATCCCAAGATTCGGAAGTGGTAATGAAAGTGGCCAGTCGCAATTTCTAACGTTCTTTTTCCAAAGACACGAAGGACCACATGCTCCTGATCTTCCAGATTTTCGATTGAACAGTATTAATTACCCCACGGCTCCCGGTAGAATCGCGCCTTATAGTGGACGTAGAAGGCCTCTAGTGGCAGATCTGGCACTCTTCAAACGTTGGAAACAGCTGTGTCAAGAGGTACATGGGACAAAGTGCTCTCAAATATTCAAGGGAACTCAGAAAATCAGGCCTCGAGTCATCGATGTCGATCAGAGACGTTTGACTTTCGCCCATGAGGATGACCGATGGGTGTGTTTGAGCTATGTCTGGGGAAAAGCGCAGACTCTTCGTCTACTCAAAGACAATCTCCAAACATTCTCAACGCCAGGGTCCCTTGGACCGAACATTCTTCCTAACATAGCGGAAGATGCCCTGCAAGTCACCAAGGGGCTTGGGGAACGGTACCTCTGGATCGATAGCCTATGCATAATACAGGATGATGCACAGGATAAGGCTAAGTTCATCTCGAAAATGGATTCGATTTACACCCTAGCGACGGCTGTCATAATCGCTTCCACGTGCACTGATGCCAACTCACACCTTCCAGGAGTGAGACCCGGTTCTCGAAATCTAGAACCAGAACCGTTCCAGATTGGAAACGCTACCTTGATAGGCTCCCTTGACCCTGTCCTCGGCGTAAAGGTCGATCTTCGTACCGGACGTGCCCAGGGATACCTTGGAGAAACTATATGGGACACACGGGCTTGGACTTTGCAAGAGAGGTTTCTCGCAGCTCGATGCCTCGTCTTCACAGCAGAGCAAGTCTTCTGGGAATGTGAAGAGGCATTCTGGTGTGAAGATAGCTTTCGCGAAATTCCCAGCGTCTCACCAGATCCGCACAGGACAAGCCTCTGCGGAGGTGAATTGAACCTCTCGTGGAATTCTGACGTCCCGACATTTGACCATTTCTATCGGGTGCTTCTCGAGGAATACTCGGGTCGCGCGCTGACATTCGACCACGATGGATTAAACGCTTTTCATGGCATCATACAGGCATTCGAGAGGTCAATGGAAGAGGCATTCTTCTGGGGTATGCCAAGCGCCTTTCTAGAATCCGCCCTGGCCTGGGGTCATAGGAGCCATAAACTAAGACGGCGACAGGGGCTTCAGGCTTCAGGGATCTCCACAGGAGACAATAATCAGTTTCCCAGCTGGTCGTGGGTCGGTTGGACAAGCGATGGACAGACGAAACTCGCCAACCAGCCCCTGACCACAGAAAGCTTAGGTATCAGGTTCTACCGCGTCGCTGAAAACGGGAAATCATTGGTGGAATTGAAACAAGCTACCCAGTTCAATGACACGGTTGATTTGCTCAGCGACGGCTCCAAGATCTCTGATCGTACATCCAGACCTTACAAAGTCTCGCTCGATGACCTGTCAGCGGACACCTCCGCCAACCTACAATCAGTTCTGTGTTTCTGGTCTGCATCCGCACATCTTGAAGTAACAAGCTGGTCTGCCAGTGGCGACTCTGCGTCTGATAGCCAGGAAATTGCCCTCTCCCAAGGACCCGACAGTACCACGCATGTGTCCTGGGCCCACCTGGCATCTTCATTAAAGCAAGGTGACAAAGTTGAAGTCATCGCTGTAGCCCAAAACAGAGGCAGCTGGGACTCCGGCCACATTGCTAATGGCGCTATAGGAGTCATGGTAATTTCCTGGGATGCCGGTGGTGCCACAGCGATTCGTGAAGGGTTTGCCTGGATGGCTATTCGAGCATGGACCGCGTTGAAAGATCGTAAATGGAAGCTAATTATCTTGCGGTAATAAATATAATAGTCAGGTTCGCACACCTGCTGCCACGCTATTATTTGAGGATCGGTAAAAATGGAGGGCCTTTGATGCCCACCTGTCGTACTGGGCGCGGACTTAGAGTGTAAAGGCGATCAAGCAAACAATAAAATTTTAATTTCCTGCCCGAATAGACCATCTTTGAATTTATCTGCCCTTTTTCTCTCGTTATCTTTCTTTTAAAGTGACGATCGGAATTCTCCTTAATTGAGGTTGCCCGGCTGGAAATGCGGATGTCGTGGTTGTGTAGGAGGCTGTTAAATCATCTCCCTTTAATCTATAAATGATCATGAGCAGTAAGCAACGAAGAGGTTACAAAGGTACGTATTGTCTGGTAGAGAGCCAAAGGAATTGTGACAGAGGTCACACACAACCTTGAACTTTGTTTGGCGAGATCAAAGTCCGCTGGCGTTTGGCGCTAAAGGCGTCTAGTTCGTTACGCCATTGGGCCGGAAAGAATAAGCTCATGCGCCAAGACATGCTGGAAGGGACCCCTTGTATACAACTAATCATTTTCAATGATAGCTACAACGAAGCAGATGGCACTCATAGTGATAGATAGAGGAAATGCCGTTGGCACAAAGTATGAGCTTGACCACATATAAAGAAAAATAAGTTAATGATTGCAAAAAGAGTCACATGCTTCTTTGGCTTCATAAACATAATGCGGACACATATCAATAGATAAAAGAGGCAACTTCTTCTACTCATCTATCCTCAAATTTAAGAAGTAAGAAAATAAACAAAACAAACCTACCAACTTCTTCACACCTTCAAAAATCCCCCGTAATATGCATCCAACCACCCTCCCGCCTTTCTCCCAGCATCCTGCCCGCCTCTCCACCTCCCAATGCTCCCCACATACCCATCTGGGCGAACATTCACAATCGCTACCTCATCTGCAGCAACATCACCCAACCACTTCTCCGTGCACCCGCCACCAGACATGACATCATCAAGGTAGAAAGTCCATCGGCTGGCCCGCAACAGAGCCGGCAAAGCGGTAATCTCCGCATCAGATTTCGCAGTGCGCGTGACAAGCGCGTACGTGAATAGCTTGGACACGGGTGTGTATCTGTCTAGCTGGGCGAAGTCATCCAGCGGTGCGACAGCAGGTGGATTTGCGGCGTAGGACTTGTTAGCACGCATGCTGGTGAGCGAGAGGAAGGATGTTGATGACTGAATATAGTTGCACAGGCTTTCCAGGAACGCTGCGCCAGTCTGCAGGTTCGGGATGAACATGTAGATACGGAACTGGCTGAGGAGAGGGATGTCGAGCTGGATGTCGATGGGGTTTGCGTCGATGTAGCGGGAGACTCGTGCCGGTGTAAGCAGGCTGCCGGTCTTCAGGAGGTTGACTGATGAGCCTGGCGGCAGTGGCGTAGAGCCCACCTGGTTAAGGATGTTGGGCGCGTATTCTGCTCCGACGCCGGAGATGAAGCGGATGTTCTCGTCGAAGTTGCGCGCGAGAGCCTCATCGCCTTCACTGAATGCGTGGACGTGCTCGGTGTCGAAGTCGATGAGGTCTCGGGCGATTTTCTTCCGTTCCTCTTCGTATGTGGCGAGGAGGGAGCGGAAGGCTAGGTCTCGTGATACCAGGTTTAGCTTCCAGGCAAGATTGAAGCTGTCATGCATGCTGGTGTTTGCACCTTGGGCGGCAAGGGCAGAGTGAGTGTGACCGGCCTAGTTTGTTGTCAGTGAGTAAACGACAGCGACGTATCACTAACAGCAGACTTACATCTCCAGCGATGAAAAGCTGTAGTTCTGGATCTGCGAAATGATTGGCAACCCTCTGGCTCACGACGTAATTACCAAACCATTCTGTTTTGATGAAGTTAGGATGTGATGCCCAAAAGGGTAGGAATCGGATATCTAACCAATGCTCTTCCACTCCAAAGTATATGGTGCCATCGCTTCCCTGGCTTTGCTGATGACATATTCTGGCGTGGCAAGGGATCTATCCATCCGATCGCCGTCCTTCGAGCTAAGTTCGACATATAGCCGGGTCATAGTGCGCTCTCTTGGGATCCAAAGAATGGAGCCAGCATGTTGTGTGCGGACAGCAACTTTGCTCCACAGGTCTGGGAAATCCGTCTCAATAACACCTAATGGATTCCATCTTGATTAGGGAAATGAAAATAATACATGTAGAGTTCAAACACACTACATACCGTCCAAGACCCCCCATGACGCATTTGTCATTTCACCAATCAGCTTGGCCTCAGGTATGAAAGGTCTAACTTTCGAGCGTGCGCCGTCGCATCCAACAAGATAATCCGCTTCTATCGTCTTAGGTGCCTTGGTTGTGGAGTCTTTATAGACGACATTGATTTTTCTGCCTATAGCTGAGCTTGAACATTCGATGAACGGACTGCTGCGCGAAACAGAAACTCCTCGCTCTTCCATGTCTTGGATCAGGATATCTTCTATCATCCCCTGATGCGCCAGCAAGATGTATGGATCTGACGCCCCGACATGATTTGGATAATGAATCTGGCGACCTGTACGCTGAAGAGGCTTGTCTGCTGTAGATTCCTGGGTGTAAAGGTTAGAGGTTTCATTCGTTCTCGTGCGGGTTGGAGCACCCCCGTAGCTTACCCAGAAAGATATATCGTAAACCTTGACCCCTTTTCTCAGGAGGTCGTCTGCAAGTCTGAGCTGCTTGAAAGTCTCGATGGTTTTTGGCTGCATTCCATCAGCTTTTCCAGTTGACGTCTTGTCTGGCCTGTCATCCAAAATAGTGGTTTTTATTCCATATCGGGCCAGATTTGATCTGCCTTCCTCTTGTCAGTGTCAAGGTCAAAATAATGAATAATTTTAAACACTAGGGCAATGGAAGTAAATAGCGGTGGTTTGGGGGTGCCCCGGGGGGGGGGGGGGGAGAAAGGAAAAAAAAAGGGAAAAAAAAAGGGGAAAAAAGAAAGGAAAAAAAAAGGAAAAAAAAGAAAAAAAGAAAAAGAAAAAGAGAGATAAGAGAGAGAGAGATCTACATACGCAAGCATCAAACTTGACGGGCCTGCACCCACCACAGCTACCGTTGTGGCCGGCAGCGGGCTTTGCACGCCGTCATGGTCCATGAATCCTTCACTATCAGCGCTGGGTCCCATCTTGAGCTTTTTCGGAGAGACTTGTGACTGCGCTCTTTTCATGATAGAGCGATGCAAGCAAATTCTTGGGTTATATTAAAATAGGAGAAAGTCTCAAGACGATCGCGCCACATGGGTTACGCTTCCTGTGAGTGTTAGCAGCATCAAGCTACGGCACCCTTTCCGGCAGAACGGTTGCTGCTCACTCTTGGTTTCAGCGCTAGAACTTCCTTTGTCAGACAACCAAAGTGTCAAGAGTGTCATCACATCATGGCGCCACTGTGAATTGCAGTTGCCCGAGAAGATCAGACATCAGGGTCTGTTTCTCAAGGTGGTTGTCTACACTGCTGTTTCTGTGTTACCCCTCACTGGATCGGAAGCTGTGGATGCTGATACTAGGCTCAGACGGGGCAGGGTCCTTCCATCGTAGCAGTGATGGTTAGCGCTGTGGAGCCCGAAGCAAGGGGCGGTTTAGTTAAGCACTTTTGGGTAGGGGAGGTCCCACACTCCAGTTAAGAAGCCCCCATTTTTGGTTAAATCCCATCCATACGGACAGCGCTGTATTGATACAGAAATACTCCGTTATTACAGTACACACCTGACCGTACGGAACACCCCCAGCCGGGCTCGGCAATCGGCAGTTGGAGAGCCGAATCGCTATCGGGCTAGGGCTACCTCGGCGATCGCAACCTCGATACCAGAGAGCAGCTTTGTATGATGCCAACAAAAAAAGGCAAAAGGAAAGGAAAAGAAAAGAAAAAGAAGGAGGTAAAAAAGGGTTAGAGAAGGTTGGTGAATATTTATTTTTCAATTCAGAGGATATTTTTCGCATAGAAAACTAACGAACGTACTCCGTACTCAGATCACAACAAAAGTAGTTGCCGTCAATCACAATGAGCACCCTGAAGCCATGGGAAGAAATTGTCGCCAAAAAAAGATCGCTCAGGGACAAGGCTCTGAATCCTTATTTTGTCGATGACATCCATCTCAGGCCCGAAAGAGTAGCAAATGTTGCGGATAGGTCTCGTATCGAGCCCCAGGCTGCTCAGACTATCACTGAAATCGACAGCATCGAGCGATTGCATGAGTCCGTCGGCCGGGGGGAATTCACTGCTGAGGATGTCACGCTGGCATATATCAAGAGGTTGGCAAGCTTCTCCTATACCAATCAATCTACACCTCTCTTGTCGTGTTTGTTTGTTTATGTTAGGAAGGAAAGATTCTTCCCCTGGATTTCATTTCTGACTAAATAAAAACCAACCCCATAGAGCAACAGTGGCACATCAACTGGTTAGTACGCGCGATACTAGATCGCCAACATATTTAAAATTTCTTATTTTGGCGCTCGTTGATAAGATTCCTCCTAATGAGCGCGGACGGGCCATTTCTGCATGTAGACGAATGCCCTCACCGAAATAGTATTTGAAGAAGCGCTCCAGCAAGCCCGGGAGCTTGATAAATCGTTCAAAGCAACGGGCAAGGTTAAGGGGCCGCTTCATGGCATTCCTGTCACACTGAAGGACCAGTTTGATCTCAAGGGCGTCGATTCAACACTGGGGTATGTAGGGCGTTCCTTCTCGCCGGCGGCTGAAGATGCTGCTCTGGTGCAGATTCTGAAGAGCCTAGGGGCTATCATTCTTTCAAAGACAAACCTAAGAGTATCATGGTGCGTATATGATAGTGTCTCAAAAGAATATGATTCCCGTACTTATAGATAGTTTTAGTGGTGTGAAACCGAAAATCCCCTTTTCGGCCTGACTGTGAATCCACGCAACTCTAAATTCACCCCTGGAGGCTCGACTGGTGGAGAAAGTGTCCTTCTCGCCCTCCATGCCTCGATTTTGGGATTTGGAACAGATATTGGCGGCAGTATTCGGATCCTTCAGCATATGTTAGGCTTATATGGGCTGAAACCGAGTGTAAGTTTCATCGATCCATAATCACTACCTGCCACAACATATCTCCATCTGTATATATTCTGACAATCTCACGGAACCAGAGCGGCCGTTTGCCCTACTATGGCACCGCCGTCTCCACGGAGGGTCAAGAACACGTTCCGTCCTCTATCGGGCCCATGACCCGCGATCTCTCGTCCATAATATACATCTCCCAACACCTCGCGAACTCGCAGCCATGGGCCCTCGACCCGCGCTGCGCCCCGCTCCCCTGGCGCAACGAGGTCTTCACCGAAATCCAATCACGCCCCCTCGTCATCGGCCTCACCCTCGACGACGGCGTCGTAAAAGTCCACCCCCCAATCCAGCGCGTCCTGCACGAACTATCCGCCAAGCTCCAAGCAGCCGGCCACGAAGTCATCCCCTGGAACACAGACGGCCACCAAGAATGCATCGATATCATGGATACCTTCTACACCGTCGACGGCGGCGAGGATATCCGCAACGACGTCATGGCCGCCGGCGAGCCGTTCCTCCCCCATGTTGAGAGGCTCGTTAACAGGGGCAAACCCATCTCCGTCTACCAATACTGGCAGCTGAACAAGCGCAAGATCGCCGCGCAGAAGCGGTATCTGGATAAGTGGAACTGGGTGCGCGGGCCGGAGTCGAATCGGATAGTGGATGTGCTGCTCGCGCCGACGATGCCGCATGTCTCCGTCCCGCATCGGTGCTGTCGCTGGGTCGGGTATACGAAGGTGTGGAACTTTTTGGATTATTCGGCGCTTACGTTTCCTGCTGGTGAGGTTTGTAAGGAGAGAGATAGACTTCCTGTTACGCCCTACAAGCCGCGGAACGAGCTTGATGAATGGAACTGGGGGCTGTATGATGTGGACACGATGGCAGGACACCCGGTTAATCTGCAGATTGTGGGGAAGAAATTGGAGGAGGAGAAAGTGTTGGGTGCTGCTGTGGTTATCGAAAAGGTTATGCGGGGATCGTAAGAATTGGTTCTTGAGATATATTAACTATTCTTTCCAACGGCACTGGATATTATATAGATATAGAATAGTCTTATTATCGTCTCGTCCCTACATGAAATGAATGAGAAAGAGTTGAAATAAAAGCTTAGAAAATAAACTAGCAAGCGAATTTGAAGAATAAGCATACTGTCACGTCGACATGGGATTTGATAGCTTCCATTTAATTTATATACAGGTGATCATTCTCCTTGACCAAATGAGTTACCATTTCGTGACGCCTCCATCCACACAAATATCCTGCCCAGTCATATACGAACTAGCATCACTTGCCAGAAACACACAAGCGCCCCTAATATCATCGGGCTCTGCTAACCGGTGGTTCATGATATCGGTCTTCCACTTCTCAATGAGGTGAGGGAAATATCATGAGCGGGTTAGATCACATCATTCTAGGGGGGAAGAGATGGGAAAATTACTCACTGCAGCCGTCATCTCCGTCCGAACATATCCAGGCGATACAGAATTAACTCTTAATACCCTATTTCAAGTAGACACAGCCATCAGTTTACATTTCCCAAAATCAATCAAGAGAGAAAAAACGAAAGACAAGAACATACATAAGGCACCAACTCCTTCGCAATAGCCGGACACATCGCCTTCACAGCCCCCTTCGTCCCACAATACGCCGAGCTATTCTGATCCTTAATCGCCATGTAGCTCGCAATGCTCGCAACCAGCACGATGCTACCGCACTTGGTCTCGTTGGCAATCATCTGCTTAGCGGCCAGCTGCGCTGTGAAAAACAGGCCCATGACATTTGTGTCGAGCAGTTCCCGGTGCGCTTCGTAGGTGTATTCTAAGAAGGTAAGATGTCTATTTATGCCCGCGCAGGGCACGCAGATGTCTAGTTTGTTATCGAAGTCGATGCTGAAATTGGCAAACCCGTCTTCTAGGGAGTCTTTGGAGCTGGCGTCGACTCTTTTTTTTTGTCAAGTTGAAAATGGTTGTCAGTGCTTTCTTAAGAGGGAATTGATATATTTCTGATTTTGTTATATTGATTTATGCCCTTACTTGTAGAATGCAGTTCTGACGCCATATTTATTGGCAATGCTGTGAAATCCTTCAGCTGGATCTATTACGTCGAAAATAGCGACGTCTGCGCCAGCTTCTGCGAGGCCCTCTGCAAAGGCCAGGCCGCATCCTCGTGCGCCGCCTGTTACCAGAGCTGTACGGCCCTTGAGAGAGAACTGAAATAGGATTTTAGATGGTGGTTAGCTATAGATAGACATCTGAAAGGCGAAGGCCAGATGAGGTACTTGGTGGATTCCTTACTCTAGACATTGTTAAGGAGTTGAAGTATATGGATAACTATGAGTTGCTGAGTTTCTTCAAATTCACGAATAGATATGGATTTTGCCTGAATTACACTGTCCTTTGATTCCTGGGCAACTTAGCTCTTACAAAAGTAGTAAATAAAGGTAAATCAAAAATAAAAGGAAGCTGCCCCTCCTCCAGTCACTAGAGCTTGCACTATCTAAATAATTGATCATCTCTCCTATGTATCTCTTCTACAAACCGTGCCGCTTAGAAATGATAACCAACGCCGAGTGGAACCAAGCCCCGGTTCTATATCACTCGCCATCTGATTGCTGGTAACTACGCCGTGGCCATAATTGAAATCCTTTCTGAACTTTCACAGACCCTTCTCGCCATCCCACCAAACCCCCATTTCTCGATCATGGCACCTAGCCCTAACTTAGTCAATTTGTTGCAACCCCGCCCTCGGACATTGAGACTCCAACGGCAAGATGCAGACGGCATGCTGCGGGGTGTATTATTTCTAGTTGAACCCAAGAGTTGGCACGGATAGATTGGCCCATTCGAAGATTCGCGGCTCTCAGGATACAGGTGGCTCTTTTGTTCTGAATCAGTTGCGGACTAAAGTCTCATATCTGTGGAAGTGATCGGTCATTTTTCCTATTTATCCCTTAAGCTTTTTCATTTGAATTTGACGGTCTTCCTCGTACTTCTCGATCTAAGAACTCGTATCTGCGGGACAATTTTGAAGTAAAATATACACCCTTTGGCATTAAACATATCGAAAACTCAGCGTATCTACCACCAAGCAACAAAATGGGCAAAAAGCGAGTTCTAGTCAGCTACGGCGTTGACATCGATGCCGTCGCAGGTTGGCTAGGGTCGTACGGCGGTGAAGATAGCACAAATGACATCAGTCGAGGTACATGTACAAACCAAAGAGAAATTACTCTGAACAACACTCCCATTCCAACCTTGTAGGCCTTTTTAAAAGATATTCCTCTTCTATCTAACACATCATCTACTGCAGGCCTCTGGGCGGGCACAATCGGCGTCCGCCGCCTCCTCAAACTCTTCGAAAGATACAACATCAAAGCCACCTGGTTCATCCCCGGCCACTCCCTGGAAACCTTTCCAGAAGAATGTGCCATGGTGCGCGATGCCGGCCACGAAATAGGGCTCCACGGCTACTCGCACGAGAACCCGTCCGACATGACCGTTGAACAGCAGCGCGACGTCCTCGACAAGACCTACCGCCTCCTCACAGACTTCTGTGGCAAGCCGCCCCGGGGCACCGTGGCGCCCTGGTGGGAGACGAGCGCGGAGGGCACGGATCTGCTGCTTAGCTATGGCATTGAGTATGACCATTCGATGGCGCATCATGACTGCCAGATGTACTGGCTGCGGACGGGGGATACGTGGACGAAGATTGATTATACGAAGAAGGCAAAGGACTGGATGAAGCCGTTGGTCAAAGGCCAGGAGACCGGGCTTGTGGAGATCCCGGGCAGCTGGTATATTGATGACTTGCCGCCGATGATGTTTATTAAGAATTCGGCGAATAGTCATGGGTGGGTGAATCCGAGGGATATTGAGGACATTTGGAAGGTAAGTGTCTATTTTCTTCTTCTTTTTTGCATTTTTGCCCATCCCGGATTCAGCACCATCTGAGCATTCTTTTCTAATGTCTTGTTGTCCTTTTTGTATAGGATCACTTCGACTATTTCTACCGTGAATACGATGAGTTTATATTTCCCATGACGATCCACCCCGACGTCTCTGGCCGGCCACATGTCCTTCTCATGCACGAGCGGTATGTTCCTTTTTTTCTTTTTACTTTTTCGCCCCTAGTAGATAGAATACTGACTACAGACAACTAATCTAGCATTATCGAGCACATCAACAAGCACGAGGGAGTGGAATGGGTAACATTCGAGCAGATGGCAGACGATTTCAAGAGTAAAAACCCAGTTCCAGCAGGGGCAAAGATGCCAGCGCCACGCGGGGAGATTCTGAAGAACCCGCCATTGAATCCATGATTAATTGAATCCATGATTAATTGACCAGCTAATACTACCAAAAAACCACCTGAGATAGTTGTTGGTATAATTTGATCATTCTTAGTTAATTGAGCAAGTTCCATAATCACAAGTCGATAACGAGCCACTTTTCTGCAACTACCCATGCCACTCTTGGAAATAATGTAGCCACATTCATTTTCCAGTATTTTTGCCCATCTTTTGTTTTAACTACATAAGTTATATAGTATATCTGCCCCGCAATGGAAATTAGCTTTCAGCCAGTGTCAGGAAAAAAAGAGGTTATACACTACTGAACGCCACCAACATCGTATTACTACAATATTTCTCATCATCATCATCAGCTTACTACAACGCTCGTCTAATACTCGCTTATGCTAGCTCTCTTGGCTCGCACATATATTTTACTATAAATAGCTCTATCTTTTGTATGAAATAGATATAGGAGAGAGGGCATGGATAATATAACAAGCAGATCTTGATACACATAAGATTCATATGTCTCCAACATATTCATCCGTGACACCCAATCCGACAGCCAGTGACGTAACGCGGTTCGAGCTTAAAAAATAGAGTTTGCTGATTGCGGGGGTGCGTATTTTATTCCCGGGGGCGTGTAAATTGTGTAAAATGAGTAAAATACACAACCCCCATTCTTGAACCCCTGTTGTCACTGTATCGTATCGGCGGTATTCTCGTTCAATTACTTCAAATACTGTATATACATACACATACGAAAAGCCGCCGAGGTATCAAGAATACATAGCATGTACCCCTGATAAAGCACTATCTCATCTCTGCAGAGATCTATACGGCGGTTGCCCTCCACTCTGCCATGTTGCATTTTTGGGGCAAGCAGGACGTACGCTCGTTCCGCTGCGGCAGAGTGGCAGAGTATGGTAGTGCACACCAACCGTGGGATGCTTGCTGCTGCTGCTGCTACTGCTGCTGCTGCTACTGCTGCTGCTGCGTTGCGACACACTAAGCCCTGGTCGTCAATGGTCAGTTGTGGTGATTACCGGCACTCGAGATTAGCTTGCTCAAGGTTGGGCGGGCTTGAGGGCTTGAGGGTTGCGGGCGGGGAGCTCTCCTTATTTCTGTTTTGTCCTGGCCTTGTTTGATGTTGGAGCTTCCACCTTAAGAAACCAGGAACGACGACGGCTGAGAAGCAAGAGGTAGAGGAACGTACCTTAAGATGTATCATCTCATACGTTGCTTTGGGAGCTACAGCTGGTTTGTTTCTGGGGATTTTTAGAACGAAAGAACTACATCTACTTGTTTTGCTTACTCTCGCTGGACGCCAAAGTCTTCCTGGTGGCTTGTTTCCTCGTCCCTCAACTTGAAAAAGCTATCGGCAGATCTTCAAAAACGGAATAGAAGAAGTGACAGGATATACCCTATTCGAACAGGGAGCTATAGTAAAGATATCTTCAAGTTCCCTGCTTGCGTTTATCTTCTGTTTTCCTGTTCATTCATACTCCGCGCAATATGTCTCCCATACCTGTCAAACAGATAGAACACCGCGATGAATCATGTAACTAAAGGTTTCCTCTCCCCCCCCAATAACCCAATAAACCCCAATACCACCGCTGTCTAACAAATCATCACCCCCTCAGATCGTAATCGTCGGCGCCGGCCTGGGCGGCCTGGGTGCTGCCATCTCCTGCCTTCTCGCTGGCCACAACGTCACAGTTCTCGAAGCAGCCCTCCAGATCGCCGAAGTAGGCGCCGGCATCCAAGTGCTCCCCAATAGCTCACGCGTCCTCACCACCTGGGGCCTATCGGAGACGCTATCCAAATATGCCACATGGCCGCGCCAGTGCAACTTCCGTAGCTGGAAGGGTGAAATCATCTCATCGCTGGACTTCCATGAGTCCCAGTCCCAGTTCCCCGGGACCTGGTAGGCGATTTCCACCGCGCGTCGCTGCACAAGTGTCTCATGGACCGGGCGGTGGAGCTGGGCGGCGCGCTGCAGTGTAATGCTAAAGTTGTGGATGTGGTTGTGAGTGCGGATGGGACGGCTGCGACAGCGGTGATGGAGGATGGGAGGCGGGAGGAAGGGGATTTGTTGATCGGTGCGGACGGGGTGTTTAGTCGGCTGTCGGAGATTTTGCTGGGGAGACCAAATCCACCGACGAAGACGGGAGATTTGGCGTATCGGCTTCTCTTGTCGACGGAAGAGATGTTGAAGGAACCTGAGCTCAGGGGGTTTGTGGAGGAGCCGCAGGTTAATTATTGGTTGGGGCCAGATGCGCATGCTGGTAAATCACGGCGACCCCCCCTTTTCTTTTTTTGTGTTGGTTTTATGAGAAATTTTACGATGCTAATCTTCCGGATAGTGAACTATGTCCTGCGAGGAGGTGAGCTGTTCAACATGGTTCTCCTAGTACCGGACGATATACCAGACGACAGCGCTGCAACAGTAGAAGGAAACGTAGAAGAAATGTGCGCAGCGTTCAAAGGATGGGATCCCAGGTGTGTCAATATTTGCCTCAGCTCTTACCATACACATCATCCGCCTAATTGACTAACTCTTAGAAAACCTCCATAGAATCGAGAAACTCCTTAGGCTCTGCAAATCTGTCCACAAATGGCGCCACTGTTACCGCCTTGGTGAACACGACTGGACCCATCCATCCGGCTCGTGGACTCTACTCGGAGATGCGGTGCACGCCACTCTCCCCTATCTCGCATCAGGGTAAATGGCCCCTTATTTTCCACTCCCCAACCAGATCCAAATAACCACAAAATACCTAACGCCCCCCACCCCCTTACAGCGCCGGCATGTCCTTCGAAGACGGCAGCATCCTAGGAGAATGTCTATCCCGCCTCCCCAACACCCCCAACACAGATAAGAAGTCCCCCGCCTTCCTCGCGCAGAAACACCATGCACTCGCCGTGTATGAAGCGTGTCGCAAGACGCGGACGAAGATGGTCGTCGAGCGCGGCAACGTGCAGCAGTACCTATACCACCTACATGACGGGCCGGAGCAGGAGGAGCGCGATCAGAAGATGCGCATGGTGCCGACGGAGGAAGGGGAGGCGCTGGCGTGGAGAGATCCAGGGCTTGCGCCGAAGTTACTATCAGTGTGAGAAGGATGTAGGTCTTTTTTCTTTTTTATTTGCCGCCTACGCTCACCCCTTTTTCTCGGGGTTATATAAGTTTTCCCCTTGAACATACACGCCTGCCATGCAATCCCCTATAGTGAACCAACCTGAACTAACAAATCAAACCCAGGTCGAATATCACTGGAACATCGTATCGGTCCCGTCGTCGAACGTGAGAAAGTCAGACACCTGAGGAGGCGCGGCTTTGAAATGACAGAAATTTTTCGATGGGATGGTTCTGCGCAAATGCGAAGATCAGACGTGAGATAATAGATGGAGAGAGAAGGAGAGAGCGAGCTGTTTAGGCCAATAAGAGTAACGAATTCATAGAATTACTGGACAGATATGACATGATGAACAGGTTTTTTTTTTTTTTTTTTAAGTGGAACTTGATAGTTAGTTACCTACTGTAGTTAGTTACTTGATGCTCATGGACATTTCTGGGGCGTAGTGACTGACACAAGAACGGACATGACTAGCATGTAGCTAAGAAATGGTACTCCTCTTGAAGCATTATTTATGTTACTCCGTCTTGCCTGAGAATGCGGCATCTTGTCCAAAAAACAATTATCATAGTATCCCTTTTCGATATCCCAGACAGTAAGCCCTAATATCCGCTTTGGGAAGTAGTTCAGGAAAAGACCCCGAGAGAGAGCGACGACGACGTTTCCAGGTGATTAGATCTTTTCTCTCTTTTCACTTCTAGTTCTGTATTCTTTTAGTTATTTTATATTTCTTGTTTACCACATATTTATTATATAAATGGCTCTCGAATTGAATTTAATCCATAACTTCCAAGGTTCCCAGCTCGCACACGTGATCGCGACGCGTCGAGGCTAAATTGATTTTCCGCAACCGCGTCAGAAGGAACAAGACCAGACGAGCGAGAGTAATGGTATAAACCACAGTGCTTGAAGTATTATTCCACATTTCAGATTTCACCATGGATAAGCCAGAATCGTCATCAGCCCAGGCGAAGAGAGGCCTGCAGGAAAACCTCGCTGGAGCCCCAGCAGACTATGAATTGCCATGGTGAGAGCACCCTCCCTTTTCCCATAGATACACAGTAGAATCAGAGGAGGACTGCGTGATATAGGAACAATTAGGACGAATTGACAGCTAATTGCACACATATATACATATATACAGGGTTGAGAAATACCGGCCTGTGTTCCTAGATGACGTCGTCGGAAACACAGAGACCATCGAGCGGCTAAAAATCATCGCCCGCGATGGCAACATGCCGCATGTTATCATCTCGGGCATGCCAGGCATCGGGAAGACGACTTCGATCCTCTGTCTGGCGCGACAGATGCTGGGGGACGCTTACAAGGAGGCTGTTTTGGAACTTAATGCTAGTGACGAGAGGGGTATGTTATTGTTGCCCATTTTGCCTCAATGTGTGGGATGGGCGATGGGGATCAGTTATGCTCACTCGGCTGATCTCTCTCAGGCATCGATGTGGTTAGAAACCGAATAAAAGGCTTCGCGCAGAAAAAAGTCACCCTCCCCCAAGGTCGACATAAACTGGTCATCCTCGATGAGGCAGACAGGTTCGTAGACACTTCCCGTCCCTCCTAATTAATTCAAAATCGCGTCCGCTTTCCATTTCCCATCCACATCCACTGACCCAGACCATATTACTTAACAGCATGACATCCGGCGCCCAGCAAGCCCTCCGTCGAACGATGGAGATCTATTCCACAACCACCCGCTTCGCCTTCGCCTGCAACCAATCGAACAAAATCATCGAACCCCTCCAATCCCGCTGCGCCATCCTGCGCTATGCCCGCCTCACAGACGCACAGGTCCTCAAGCGGCTTACGCAGATCTGCGAGGCGGAGAACGTAAAGCATTCCGAAGACGGGCTTGCAGCGTTGATATTCAGCGCGGAGGGCGACATGAGACAGGCCATCAACAATCTACAGAGCACGTGGGCTGGGTTCGGGTTTGTGAGCGGCGATAACGTCTTCCGGGTCGTCGATAGTCCGCATCCGGTTAAAGTGCAGGCGATGATTAAGGCGTGTTGGGAGGGGAGGATCGATGTGGCTTTGGATACGTTGAACGAATTATGGTAAACTCCCTCTTCCTGATTTTTTCAATTACCTGTACTTTTTACATATGACTGACAAACATCTTATTCCGGTATTCAGGGATCTCGGCTACTCCTCGCACGACATCATCAGCACGATGTTCCGCGTGACGAAGACGATACCAACGTTATCTGAACACGCCAAGCTAGAATTCATCAAGGAAATCGGCTTTACGCACATGCGGATATTGGAAGGGGTGCAGACGCTCGTGCAGCTCAGCGGCTGCGTAGCAAAGCTCTGTCGGATCAACATGAAGCCTGAGAGCTTCATTCCTTCGTCGTCGAAGAAGTAAAGGGCCCCGTTGAAGTAACGGCCTGACCTGGCCTACCTACAAAAATTACCAATATATTGCTCCACTTGCCGATGTGTCTTCCCTCCATCTAGTCTAGCTTACGCGCAGAGAAGAATCGAAAGAAGTTGGGGGGGTTTGGGGATCGGGGATATCGGGCGGTAGGTAGGGGATCATTCATATTCCCCCAAAACTCCAAAATGACGACCACGGGGATGAAATTAAATTAATTAGATTGATGGATGGATTGGGTTACCTGTTGGTAATGACATCGCTACTACTCCCCTGTCTTCAGGCGCTGAAATCTAGATCGGTCGGGTCCGTGGAACTTGTTGCCAGCCAACAACAACTGCAGCCGAGGGGGAAGAGAAATAATAATGACATTAATGACAGATTTACTTTATTTCTACATATCCGTTTCGGGTAAGATACACCAGAAGTTCAGTGACGGGTTAGTTGATGAAATAATATACTTATTATTATATTATATTATGTCCTCACCTCACCATGCCTCTCCTTTTTAGTCGATGGTTAAATAATAGTGTGTGGGTATGGATGTATATGATGTTGAGTAACATATTGTTGTTTGTTCCCTTTGGACACAGCAATATATAGTTAATATTTAATACGACTTCATGGCCAGAGCGGGCTAGTCCAAACGGCTTGTCTCGACTCTCCAAGGGGTTCGAACAGGTTTGATACGACTCATACGAGGCGCGACAGACTTGACAGACTGACGAGACAGGAGCTCAGAAGGAAGATGGGAGAAGACTCGTCTCAGCGGTCTGGTTTGGGGAATTTATCTACAGCTGTACGGAGTATACGTATTTAACTTGTTCATGGGCATGACAAATAAACTGACCATGTTGTCCTTTTCTTCTCATTCTCATTCTCTATAGTCTATATCCATCCCCGGAGGTTAATGCAGAATGACGCTCTATCTCCATCTTCATAAGCTCAAAGTCTATTCCCCCGCAAACCACCACCACTCACCACTCTGAGTATCTTGAGTTGACTCTCCCAGTAACTAGGTGGCTGAGAAGCTAGGCAGGCGTTAGGTTATAGTTAGTTAGTTATAGGTTAGGGCCGAATAGCGCCGAGAAGCCTTCAGGTGCTCGTATTTGCCTTTTTTTAAAAGAAAAATCCTGTTTGGCATAAATAGTTCGCTCACCATGGATTCTTGTCCTTTCTTTTCGCAGCAATGAGGGAGTGAACGGCCGTTGTATCCTTTTCATTTTATTTTTTTATTTATACCCATTTTTATTTACTCTTTCTTCCGTACAGATTTTATTTGTATATATAAATTCCACTATCTTGTATGAAACCGACTTCTCTTCATCCCACACCACACCGTTATTATACTCCGTATCCCAATTCTATTCCATTCCACCTTCCGCCCAACGATTGATCTCTCTATCATTTAGATATCGCTTTCCATTGCCCGAGCCGCGGGTAATTGTTCGGAGCTGGTCAATCACCTCGCTACTCCTTCTACAGTCCGACAATTCCAGCATCATTTCTGAATCTATTGATCAACCCAAGGAGCAGCTATTTATACACATATATATACATACATACATACATACGGAGAGAGCTATAGAATAGCCGTGCGCCATGCGCGGTACCGCCGCTATCTGCACGCTGGGTACAGCGCTGCTGTCCGTCTTGCCCGCCATCAATGCCATCGAACTCGTTGCAAGAGACTCCCCGAGCGTGGTTGGCCTCGTCATCGAGCGGAAACATGTCACCAACCCGATTCAAAGAGATCAGCTAAGAAAAAGGAGAAGTAAAATTGTTGAACAGCTGCTGGACAATGAGGTATGCACTTCGCTTTTCCTCTTCCATATCTATCACATCCCTCCCCAGAGTCTCTGTGATTGAATATATACATATATAAATATATATACTAATCACGGCGCATAAATTGCACATACACCAGGAAACGCTATATTTCTGCAACATAACGCTGGGAACTCCAGCGCAGCACGTGCGTATGCACATCGACACGGGCAGCAGTGATCTCTGGTGCAATTCTCCGAACTCAGATCTGTGCACCCAGAGTGGAGATCCTTGCGCCGAGGGAGGGACTTATGACCCGAAAGCCTCATCTACCTATCAATTTACCAATTCCCTTTTCAATATCTCGTACCTCGACGGCTCCGGCGCAAGCGGCGACTATGTGACGGATACGCTGAGCATTGGGGGTGTTTCGTTAAACGACTTCCAGTTCGGGGTGGGATTAGACTCTACTTCGCAAGGTATGTGCTTGGATTTATATTCGATAAATATGAGAAGGGGGGAGTCAAGGAACAAGAATTTGAGGGAAAACTATCTAACCTTTCAAAACAGAGGGAGTTCTCGGTATCGGATACCCTGCGAACGCAGTACAACCGGCTCGGTATGGTCAAGCACCTTACCCAAACCTCCCCTTCGCCCTCGTCGACCAGGGACACATAAAATCACCTGCCTATAGCCTCTGGCTCAACGACCTCGATGCTAGCACGGGTAGCATCCTCTTCGGCGGCGTCAACGCTGCGAAATTCCACGGCACCCTACAATCCCTCCCCATCCTCCGAAGGGGTGGCCAATACATCGATCTCGTCATCGCTCTAACGGGCCTATCCATCTCAGGGAACGGCGTTGACCAAGAACTAAGCACAGGCAGCATGCCCGTCCTTCTCGACTCCGGAAGCAGTCTCTGCTACCTCCCCGATCAACTCGTCAGTGCCATCTACAGATTCGTCCAGGCCATCTATGACCCATCATCCGGCGCCGCCTTCATCCCCTGCCGCTTCAAATACGCAGACGTAACCCTAAACTTCCGATTCTCCCCCACCCTCACCACCGCCGTCCCCATGAACGAACTCATCCTCGACATCGGCACCGCGGTCGGCATCGATAGGCCGTCCTTCAGCAACGGCGAGCCAGCCTGCCTCTTCGGCATCGCGCCCTCTGGCGGCGGCACCTCCATCCTCGGTGACACGTTCCTCCGCAGTGCCTACGTCGTCTACGACCTGGGCAACAACCAGATCTCCCTCGCCCAGACCAACTTCAACTCCACGGGCAACAACGTGCTGGAGATCGGCACGGGGCCCGGTGCCGTGCCCTCGGTCACTGGCGTGTCTAGTGGTGCACCGCCGCGGACGACGGCTACGACCACGAGCTCGAAGGCGTGGGCGCGGCCGACGGCACGGCCGGATGTGAAGATAGGGGCGTTGGCGGGGTTGGTGGGCGTGGGTGCGGGCGTGGTTTTCGGTGTAGTATAGTATAATAATGATGATTATGAAGTTTGGAATAGTATTTTATCTCTGCGTTTTTTGTTTGGTTACTTTGGGAGTCCTGGTTATTTTGGAATTTTATTTATTTCCCCCTTTCCCCCCTTTTCCCGGTCATTTTATCCCCTTCTTGCATAAAACGTTTGGGAGGCTTGATATGCATTTCTCCTCTTTTATTTTCTTGCCTTTCTTCTGGTGGTCATCTTTCTGTCTTATCATTTAATTGCTTTGAACGCACACTCCAGGCACAGACTCACAACACAGTTCATACCTTGCTCTGCACACGATATGTATGTACTATTCATGAAACCAGTGCATACGAAACTGGAGAACACAAAAGTGGAGATAGAAAGGGAATATGAGGCTCTTGATAGAGGTAAATAAAAAAAAGGCGCGGACGCAATTCTTTCTCTCTCTCTCTCTCTCTCTCTCTTTGATTTTTTTTAAATTCGCTTTCTAGTCCTCAAGTTCTATTTAACTCTTGATGTTGAAAGAAGAAGAAAAAAAATCATTAATTAAGTAAATAAAGTATAGAATAAAGAAGGGAAGGAAACAATGTTCTGATCTTCTTCATCATCAATTCACTTGCAGAGGAAATATAACCTCTAGGTATATTTTTGCAAATCATCCCAAGAGAACGAAAAGGAGAACAAAAAGAAAATTAAAGAAAAAAACTCTCCGAATTCCTCGCGTGGGCCTCCCAACCATTTTAAATATTTGAACCGTAGACAGCCAGGCTTTAATTTTTACACTTTATGGATATCTGATCTGAATGGGAGGGAGATCAATGCAGTGTAACACGACAATAACTAACTAGCTACTTGGGCACTCGAATGATCAGCGAGCTTGTGGGAGAGCTGTAGCTTCAAGATCCATGGACGTGGAACCTTCAACCTGAGAGAGAGAGAGAGAGGGTGCTTTAGGGCCGACCCAATTGGCGGGCCAGGGTTATGATCTTGAGGAGGTGGAGAGGGCGGATTTTGAGACTTTCTGTCTTTCTATTGCGTTCCTTTTCGCATTTCGGAACGAGAGATTAACAGATGGGATCTGGGAGGGCGGTAAAAACATCTGCTTTCGTCTGTACACATGTATTTCGAAGCCGTTATTATCGTAGATATATATATGTCACTTTTTTAATGTACCGTACAAGAACCCAACTGCTTCTATATATTATACAAACAAACAGCTCTCTTCCTCTATATCATACATCATACATCATATCTCACTTCTCCAGAAACATGCCCCGTCTAACAACCACCGCCCTAGCCCCTCCATCCTCATCCTCATCATCATCACCATGACAGTCTCCCCGTTCCTCAAACCCCAGACCAAAACCATAACTATTACACCCCCAAACCTCCACACTCACCTCCTCACCATATCCCAATCCCCCCAAAAGCCTCCTAGCCATATCTGAAACCCTCCCCGCCTGCCCCTTATCCCCACACTCAAGAACAACAAGATTAGCACCCACCCACGACAGACCCATGGAGAGTATATGTGGGTAGAAGATATCTTCTTGCCGACTGGCAGCTGCTATCTCGTTGATGTTTATCACCGGCTTCTGTTCGGATGTCGGGTGGGTAGAAGATACCGCAACAGTAGCAGCGGCGTTATTACGATTGCAAACAGTGGTTGAAGATGGAGCAGTATCCCTGCCGTATTCCGCCGTGTTCGTGCCCGTTGCCGTTCTGTGATGACGTTGATGATGATGATGGATGATGGCCCGAGGAGGCGGCACGAGGGCTAGCTTTGGCTCGAACTTGCGCACGCTGCGGGTTGTGGTGCCGTTTGTGAATTGCGCCGGGGAGATATACGGTGGGTTGGAAAGGAGGATTGTTATTGTATTTGTATCCGTTTCTGGCGATGTTGATGTGGGCGTTGAAATGTTGCTGCTGCTGCTGCTGCTGAAATTACCTCCAGCAGCTGTGGTGAAATGAGCAAGTTTCCCCCCTCGCCATACCGCATTTGATGCTAAGTGCAGATTGTCGCCTGCCCCAAGCTCGGAAAGTACATCGCCTCTCACAAACGAGACCTCTTCCCTTGCCCTTTCATCTAGCCTTCCAAGCTTGATATTATGCTTGAGATTATCTCGTGCTAATCTCAGCGCGCGGGGGCTTATGTCCACGCCGCGTATTTGTAGCTTTGGGAATACGGGACTGAGCAGGGAGTGGAGAAGGAGGGGAATGCAACCGGTGCCTGTGCAAAGATCAAGAATGCGGAGATTTGGTAGGTGTTTAAATCTATCGTGCTCGTGCTCGTGCTCGTGCTTATGCTTTCGTTTGGCGGGCGCAAATTTGGAGAGTAGCAGGTTGGCCACGCGGGTCGTGTATGCTTCCGTTTCTGGCCTTTGATAATTAGTATGCATGGAAATTGAACACCTACTTGGAGTAAATATATGCATTATAAAAAGAAAACACCAACCTCGGAATCAACACCCCCCTCCGGCAGAGTATTTCCAACTCGCCAAACGGCTGATCGCCCAGGATATACTGTAGCGGTACACCCCGTGCACGCTGCTGCACCATCCTCCGCAGCCTCAATTTTGAGCTCGCATTATTATCATCCTTGCGATGCCTCCCTTGAGCCATTGGCCCGCTCTCTGCCTTCCTACCATGCCAGTCCCCGTTTTTACTTCCCCGGCCCTCAGCACGGGCGTACTCGCTTAGCCATCTCAGCTCGTTCTGGGCTGAGGGCAGATCTCGACATTCGCGGAGAAGGAGGGGGAGGAGGGGGTTTAGTGAATATGCGAGGCGGAGGAGGGAGGGGGATAGACGGGGCATTTATTATATACCTGGAGAGTGTATATATATGTATATAATGTAGGTTGACCTGGGAATGTTTGGTTTAGTTGGACGGTTAGTATCAGCAGTTATAATTCCAAACTCCGAAGTTTGCTAGCATCCAGCGTCGGTGGTCCAATGGTTAAGATTCGACATTCCCATGATCACTGCGGAATATATCGATAGTGTCAGCTTCTGACTATGTCGAGACCCGGGTTCGATTCCCGGCCGACGCATCTTTTTTATCATTTATAATTTTATTTATTTACTTACTTATTTATTTCATATTCTCTTTATACATTAACAACAGTTAATGGAAGTTGTAAGAAATTTTTAATTGATCATCAGGATCATTTTGGGCGTGAATAAGGTTTATGGATGACAGATGACAGTTATCAATACTAGAAAGGGCGTGGACAAATAAACCAAACTACGCGGAACTGAGCGACAGGGTTTATCTTGCCAATTGAAGAATTGAACAATAAAAATTAAGTATATTAAGTTACTTAACAGTGTTATAATAATTGTGTTGGTTTTACCCCATGACCATCTTGCAATCGCCCACAATGCGCGATCGAAATGTATTAAAAATGTCTATCCCGAAAAGAGCTAATGTTCTAACAGAATGCCCATCCCATTGTGTTACTAATAATGGGTAAAGAAACCTCCTAATATCTATATATATATTAAGTAAGAGGAATAATACAACGAGGTTAACCCTCACGACCGTCCCCATCTCTTCCAAAACTTCCACCATCCCCCTTCCCCCTTAAACAGGCTCTTCCCATCCCTCCGCCGAATCCGCCAAAAATATACCGGAACGCCTGCCACGTTAAACCCAAGAACAAGCAGCGTCTGCAATGGCTCCGCAAACACCGCCCGACTCAGCAAAAACAAACTAACACAACAGAACACAATCGGCGTCGTAATCCATGTCTTATACGGCCGTTCCAAATACGGCTCTCGGATGCGCAGCACAATTAGTCCCAGCACCGTCAGGAAATAGAACGTGTACCCCGCCACGCCGTAGAAGGTGACCAGCGTCCCGAACTCGCCGACGGAGAGGTAGATGGCCGTCAGAGTGAAGTTGAACAGCATGGCGTAGATGGGCGTGTAGCCGATGCCGATGTCATCGCCGAAGAGGCTGATGAGGGCCTTGTGGAACCAGGAGCGGTGGCGGAGACGTGACCCAGCCGAACTGGCGGCGGAGCCTGCTATGCCAATTTTTCCGAAGATGGAGGGTAGGTAGCCCTCGCGCCCTGCGGCGTAGATGAGTCTGCCGGAGGTAAAGGCGGTGGCGTTTAGGGCGCCGAAGCAGCTGGCGGAGACGACGAGGGCGAGCACGAGGGCGCCGATGGGTCCAAAGACCTTCCCGCCGAATTGGACGGCGACGGTGTTGGTTGCGTTTATAGTTGAAGAGGGTAGGACGAAGAAGTAGGAGATATTTGCAAGCATGTAGCATAGGATGACGGCGGGCATTGCGGTGTGGATTACTCGGGGGAGATCGCGGCTGGGGTTTTTGAATTCTCCCGTAACGTAATTTGTCTAGATTCTCACGGGTCAGTTAGTGCATCTACAAGATAAATCGGGCGGGCAACTGGGGACAAAGATTAAAGAAACAAAGACATACGTTATCCCAACCGTCAAACGCCCACAAACCCGCATATAGAGCTACCGCCCAGCTTGAGACATCGGTGCTGGTTCCCTCAAACCAGCTCGTTGTCCGCCATTTCCGATCCGGCTCGCCATTATATGACAGTCCCGTGGCCGCAACAACGATTCCAATGATGGTAACCCCAAGTAGGGCCAAAAACTTGAAAAACATAAACATGTCCCCAATGCGCGTACCCAGGCGCGTGGATATGCAGTTTAGGCCTGTTACAACAGTGAGACCCAGAATGGCCACTCCTTTATTAACCCAAGGGCTAATCGCCTCGACATCCGCCCCGACTATCGCCCGCACAACGTACTCGCCAAATATAATAGAGATGATGGCCGCGGAGCCCGGCTTCAGCACAAATACTGCAGACCAGGTAAACAAGAATCCGATCAGCTCCCCAAATATCTTAGCCAGATACACCTGCGCACCGCCATTCAGAGGTATCGCGCCCCCTAGTTCCGCATAACTCGCTCCGCCGGTCCAGGCCAGAAGACCCGCAACAGCCCAGACAATCAGCGAGGCGCCAGGGGAACCGGCGTTCGAATTGACCCGGCCGGGAGACGAGAAGATGCCCGATCCGATCACCAATCCGATAATCAACGACAGACCGTTCAAATACGTCAGTGTCTTGTGTCTTTCGAGCGAGCCGTCGATGACGCCGTTGTGGCGGTCTAGCGAGAGGACTGAGGGCGCACCGAGCGGGGCATAGCCGCCCACGGTCTGTGAGAGGGGGAAGAGGTTACTGCCAAAGTCGAAGGCGGAGGAGACGGAGTAGGATCGTGCGTGTCTCGGGCGTGCGGTGTCGTAGAGGTGGTCGGAGAAGGGGTCTTGGTTCTCGAGGGAGGCTTTTCGGGAGGAGGATATGCCGGAGGGTGAGGAGGAGCGGGAGCCGTCTTGTCCGTCTTCGTCACCAGTACGGGTCCCAGAGGAGGAGGCGAGAGAGGCTAGCTCAAGGGAATCTCTGGACGAGTCGCCGACAGGCCATCTTGATTCCCTATGGGTAACGGTCATGCTTCGGAGGATGGTGTGGTGTGCGTTGTCGTTATTTGAGGGGGGTTTATATGAGCGCCTAGGAAGAGATCACGTTCAACGTTGTCGCCATTCCAGAGAAGACTGGTTCTAGGTGGATGCGTTTCAGCGGGTTCTACATTGGGTATCAAATCATGAAGTCGTAGACGGAGTAATGTATCCGAGTTGCTGTTTGTTATTGTTGTGGCTGCTGTTGTTGTTGCTGTCTGCGGATTGACGTTGTTGATGTTTGTTGATCTGAACAATTGAATTTTGGGCGCATCAAATACCAGAAAAGGAGCAGTTGAGGAGAACATGGAGATACCTTGCCGCTAGTGCACTTCTGTAGGGAGATCGCTGTACTCTTTGGTACTACTCTGGTCATAAGCGCCGACCAAGCTTTTTGCGGGAAACCAAAAAGAAGAGAATAAATAAACTAAAACATGTTTAAAGAAAAAACTAAAACCAATCGCATTTCTATATAAACTACGGAGTACTCTCATTCATCTCCCTATGCACAGATTACTGAGATCTATAGTATCAGATTGAGACTGTCAATTTGTGAGCACTCTGGTATATCCCACCCTCCTCCGCTCTTTTCCAGCGAAACAACTTTATAGATGTCCCTCCTTCAACCTGCGAAGCGTCTCCGCCTTTCCGCCCTCCCATCTCCCGCTGCCCATTGTCGCCGAAGTGTCTCCGCTGTCTCCGCTGCCTCCGCTGCCTCCACGAATCCCTCTCCCCCAAAGCAACGAAGATGGCTCCGGGTTACAATAGTCACAGTCGCTGCCGCTGCCATTGGCGCCTACGTTCGATATGAAAAAGAATCGTCCACCGCAACCCTGAACCCATACACCTTCACACAATATGAGCTAGTCTCTAAAACGCCTGTCTCCTCAACCAGCAGCATATTCACCCTGCGCCCAGTGAAGCCAGGGAATAATGATGTGGTGTACAAAGATGCTTGGCAGAGGGGTCTATGGAGTGTCCAGTTCAAACAGCCACAGCTACAGATTGGACGGGATTACACGCCTCTGCCTCCTATTCCTGCGGCGAGGGTAGAGGGGGCGGGTGGGGAGAAGGAAGGTGGTGGTGGAGGAGGGGGAGGAGGAGGAGGAGGAGAGACAGATGACGGCGTCTTGCGGTTTCTGATCCGGAAAGATCCCTACGGAGAAGTATCTGGATACCTGCACAATCTGCCGATAGGTGCACGGCTGGATATTCGTGGCCCACGGTTGGATTACATATTGCCCGCTGATGTGGAGGAGATCCTGTTTATTGCTGGCGGGACGGGGATTGCGCCGGGTCTTCAGGCTGCACATGCCCTGTTTAGAAATAATAACAAACGACCGGACTTGAAGAAGACAAAAATGCATATATTGTGGGCTAATCGGCGGAGGGAGGATTGTCTGGGAGGCGTAAATGACAGTCCTGCCGGGCCAAGCGCCGGTTCACTGCCATGGTGGAAACGGGTTTTCAGCACAAACAAAGATTTGTCTGTAACGGAGCACACCCCGCAGACCGCAATTGCGAGGAGCCCTACGGTCAGATACCTTGAGGAGTTGAAAGCTCAGTATCCAGGCCTGCTTACTGTTGATTACTTTGTGGATGAGGAAGGGACTTTGATTGGAAGCAATTCAATATTGAATTTTACGAAGCCGGAAGCGGCAAATGAGATACAGAAGAGGAGTGCCGGTGCTGCGAGGAAATTGATTCTTATATCTGGGCCTGACGGGTTTATCAGTTACCTGGCAGGGCCTAAGATGTGGAGTGGAGGACAAGAAATCCAGGGTCCGCTCCAGGGTCTTATACGCCGGCTGGACTTGAAGGATTGGTCGGTCTGGAAGCTTTGAGAAGATCGTCGACGTCCGACATATTTCAATTCTGTGATTAAAAATTTCCATCTTCTCTTGGGCTCTTTTATTTATCTTGGTATATCCTGGTATATTGCATAGCCTTGGAGTCTGGTTGAATATATCTCCAGTGCACGGTATTCCTTTACCTTCTCGGTCTCTTTCTGTTCATCTACCTTAAGATCTAACCATATCTTGTTTTCATGTTGAAGCATAATCATCTCATCTTAAAAAAAAGGAGAAAGGCTTGAAGAGAGGGTGTTCTTCAAGAAATATCACAGCCAGCTTACTCCCGCCCATTCGCAAAATCCTCCAGATAAGCCGCCAATTTCTCCACATTCTCCACTGGTACGGCATTGTAATTGCTGATCCGGATACCACCTACGCTGCGGTGGCCCTTTAGACCCTGAAGAAGCCTCTTCTCCGCCCCAGCCAGGAACACCTTCTCCTTCTCCGCATCCCCGCCATAGACACGGAAGCAAATATTCATCCTACTCCGCACGCTCTTATGTGGTACGACGCCGTAAACCTGCGGATATTTATCCAACGTAGCGTATAACAGCTCTGCCTTGCGGTTTGCAATCACTTCCTGCC